CAGTAACCTTGTATCTGCAGAACCACTGTTGCAACTTCTGTCTAATTGTCTCTGGTTCTCTCATCTTCTTCCTCAAATACTTGGAGTACCTAGCTCTGAAGACCTTGGAAGCTTGCATATCGGAGATCTCAGCCATGGAGTAGTGCTTGCCATTGGAGGACAAGAGGCCATGTTTCAAAGCATGCAGAACCTTCTCATAGTCATCAGGTGAGTACATGTACAAGCAATCCAACAGGTCTGACATTGCTTGAAAGTAATCAATGTGGCCCTTTCTCAATGTTGACAGGATTCTCTTCTCATAATGAAACAGGCCTAGCCTTCCCTCGATTCCTGGAAAGAGTATCTCCCAGTAGTCATCCTTGTTGGGCCATGTGTCGCTGTACATGGCAGCAGGATTGAAGTGGCTTCTCCTTGCTAGCTGCATGGCAGCATGGGAGAAGTGGATTGTCTTGGTGGTGGGAACAAGAACAGCAGAGGCAATCTCTCCTGTTTCAGTGGCAGCATCCCAAACAGCACCAGCACCAAGACTCTTGGAGTAGTTCTTGACCACCTGAAAGGTATGGTCTTGGCAGAAGATTCCTTTATTGCACTCGACACTTTGGATCTCTCTTGTGTGTCTTTGGTTGTCACTGATCCTCCACGGATTCCTGTTTGAAGCACAGGCAGCATCATAGATGTCACGGATGGTGTCACCAAGAGGAGGAAACTGTCGTATGTAAGTGCCATCCTTTTGAAGAAAGGGATCTGGATCAGTGTCACTTCCCTCCCAATAGGAGAAGTATGATGTCATGGACCTAATGAAGTCTCTGTTGATTGCATTGTAGATGAGCCGGCTGCAGAGTTCTCCATTGCCATAGGTCAACATGATGGATTCGAAAGTCTCAGTGGCAGTTCTCTCCAAATGACATGCCTTGTTGGGAAGGGCATACTTGGACTCAACTGGATAGAGAAGATCAGCATGCTGTGGAATAGTACACAAGACTTCAGCACTGTTGGCATCAAACCTCCTCTGGCAGCACTCACATTTCATTGACATGACTATGCACCAAGAAGGAGCTTCAGTAATGCCAAAGATAGGGAACAAGGTCTTATTCTTTGACCAGTTGTGCCTTTCATTCTTGAGTTGGCCAGAACATCTTCCATCGGGACAAGCTACTGTAATTCCACACCGATTCCAGTCCACCAGTAGAAGTTTCTGGCCAACAATGGAGTGATAGTGTGGTGACTTGAATTGCTCCTCTGTAGAGGGAACTGTCATGGTGAGTCCTTGGAAGTGTCTTGGAAGTGTTGTCTGAATAGCTCCTGATTCTTAGGCCGAATAATGGATTCTGACACTACTTGTGCCATTGCTAGCATTGCCAGTGGTGCTCCTTTGGCAGTATCATTTACAAGAGTGGTTACCTTTTGACAAAGAGCCATTGGAGAGGTGTTGGTTCTGAGTGTCTTCTGTTGCCGGCTCTGATTTGGTTTGGCTGTGTTTGTTCTAGCAGCAAAGAAGGCGTCTCCATTCTCCTTTGTTGAGTGCTTCCAGCTTCCTCTCTCACTCAGTGGAAGAGGAGCACTGAAATGCCTTGTAAGTCTTCTGCTCTCTCTGATGGTTTCCATTGTCAGCTCATTCAAATCTCCTCTTCCTCTTGTTACTGTATTCTTAATACAGAGAACGTGGTGTGATCTTTTTGGGACTCTGAAACCAAGATGTCTGGCCTTACAGATGACACACTTCTTGAGTGGATCAAAGACTTCTGCTACCTCTCCTCCCAGTGTTGTTTGGGGTCCTTCTTCTCTGGCTCTCTTGGATCTGTTGTTGTTGTTGTTGGAGGCGAGTTGATATGCTCTCTTCTGTTGCGAGTTCCTCTGTTGACTTTGGCATCCCATTCCTGTTGCTGTTGTGGCAGCGCCAGTTGTGGTAGCTGCTGCTGTTGTTGTTGTGTTAACCATGATGATCTTTTGCTGCTGCTACTCGCTTTTTTGGCTGATATAATGACTGTCGAGTTTGCGAGTTTGCGAGCGGCAGCATGTCATGGTCGATCTTCTTCAACGGAATCCTTCTTTCGCGAAAACAGAAACAAGAAGATACGTAATTGATAGCTCACTTGCCCTGTAATCTTTATAAATGGTACGTTAAGTATATTTGAATCTTTGCTGACGTATTTGCTGATGTATTAGCTTGATTAGCCAATCAGATCACTGCCTTCTACCGCTTTTGGGCCCCTGACCTCTGGCAATTGCTTTCTGTATGTTGTGTTCTTTAGGGAAAGATATAGCGAGCTCTGGTGCCTTGCAGGTATTACATGCATCCACTACCATCCACACACTGACAAAGACAGATGAGTGAGAGATGCCATGCATTACTGAGATATCGTACGAAGAACCACCAGCAAAATATCGCAGTGCAACACTGAGTCGAATGGAACTGCTTATCTTCCCATTTACAGCACCTATGTCTTGCTCCTGCTTCGTTCCTGCTCCTGTGTTGGTCTTTCTTTTTGATGCCGCATTCAGGTAAGGCTTCAATAACTGGTGCAGTGCCCAGAAGTCCTGTTCAGTCATTCGAAAGGCTCTCTTTACATACCCTGGTCCCATCTCACGAAAGATACTGTGGACCATTCTTCTCTTGCGTTTAATAGGTGGGGTGTTATGTCTTCCAAGGCCGTCATCTTGTTCATCGAAGCCAAAGAGAGATGGATCTGCTTCCAGTAGTGTTGCCGTGAAGCTTGCCAACGTTCGCAACCTTTTGATGATTCGAGAACCATGGCCGTAGCGCCCTGCTCCTGCTTCAACAGCTGTTGGCTGGAGAAGGAACGAGATAACAAGAAGCAACAAGAGGTACATTGCATTGACTGCTATTTTATGGTCTACTATTGTATTATCCTCAACAAGAGCCAAGGCATTGACTATCAACAGAGGAGAGGTGCGACTCCATTTATCTACTCCCACAGTTTCATCAACTCCCACTTGAAAACGTTGCCTCAAAACTTGGATTGGAGGGTGCACCCGGTGTGGAGAGGGTAGCGAAGTTAACCCATTAACTCGAGTTTTGAGGTGCACTTGTCAACTAGGATTCGAAGTTCCACACCTACCCGGTCTGGACAGGGTCTAAGGACCACGAAAAGGCTGGCACAGAGGTGCCTTGCATTATCAATATAGTACTAGCTAGCTATTATAGGAAGAGCGGCCAAAAAGGACAGCAACGCTGAGGATGTCCATTATGTTGCCACAAATTCGAAATATGAGAACTTTTTGGTCCCAGCTCGTTGCTGCCGTCAAGGTGGAATATCACGAAGTGGCGAAGGCATGTATGCAAAGACACCATACCGGTACTGCAGTCATAGTTAACGAGGCTTGTTACAGGTTTCGTCTCCTTTTCCGCTGAACATCGGCGTGCTTGGCCATACCAGATACCAGGTAGTTGGCCACAAAGCGATCCGAATATATGTTGTACTTCCAATAGGAATTCCAAAAGTCGTTGTTGTTGTATTCGGTACGGTAGTGCTGCTCAAGACGCAATGCTTGCACGCCCATTGTTGGATGTTCTCCATCAAGGTAGGCGTGGTTGAAATTTAAAATCTCGATCATGTCTCGTCATCACATAGTCCTGCCTATCACTGGATGGCTGCACCACCCACTGTCAGAGTCCACGAGACCTTGCGAAACCATGAGTTCTTTCTGAAACGGCAACTTCCAGAGTCTACACCGCGGCTAAAGGTTACCTGCCTCGCTTGAAGCCTCTCGGACAACTCCAAGGACCCCCGCAACCTCCTCTGTTGCCTTGCTTCTACTGGTCGTGTTCGTTATCATCATCGTCGTCGAAGTCCTCGCTCCTTCTCCTCCTCGGAATCGTCCTCGTCATCCAAGCCTCCACCACACCTTCAAGGAAGCCGCAAAAGCCTGATTGCAAATAGTACTGTACTTAGTCACACATCCCACCTGTGTCCTGCTTCCGGGTCCAGCTTCCCTCACGGAGACAAGCTCATGGGTCGGTGTGGATTTGTCCGGAGCCGACCATCATCCAGCAGTACCGTAGCGATCACTCGGCACTGCCATCTCTTAGCGAAATCGGACGATCTCGTCTCAGCGAAGCCTCAAGTTGGCGACCCAAGTGTTGGCAAGGGGGGAAAAGCCCTCCACCCTCCACCACGCGAAGGCTGGCAACCTTCCCCACTGCACTGTTACATGGGATGTGCTCTGTGCTGGCAATTTGGATTCGCATTTGTGGTTCTTGCCACGAACATGGTTGCCCCTGGCTAGCTGCCGTACCGTACCGTACCGTACCAGATTGCTTGAATGGAATCATTGAATCGAATCAAATCAACCATCGATCCATCCATCCTTTCTCCATGGAAGAACAATGATTGCGATATTGCGATGATAGTTGCCAGTAATCTCATCCACTGCCGGTAGCTGTTCTGCCCCACCTTCCTTGGATCTGCTCCCGATAACTGCCATGGCAAAGCAACCTCCAGATCCCTTCAAGTGGGTGATTAGAGAAAGCGTTATCGGTACTGGCAGTTCAGTAGTGGAGGCAGTACATCGATCCGTTTCCTGGTGGGAGCTCGACAGCGAGTGGCCAGCTCCAAAGGTACAGTCGTACAGGCCCATCTACCTTGTCATGACATTGTACTAGCTAGCTAGTCAAGGTCCGGAGAAACTACAGTCGTATGTGTTCCACCAAGTCTACTAGTACCATTCGAATGGCGAGCAGTTCCCATTATGTCAGGGAGACGACCACTAACCACTTCGTACGGTACTCAGTATACTACTAAGTCTTTGAGTACACACGTACTCTTTTTAAAAACTCAGAGTACCCGCTACCGGTACCGGTACAGTGGAGTACGAGTACTAGTAGTAATTAAAACAGTAGACGTTCCAGTGTTTAAGTGTGAGCTTGACGACATTACTGTACGACATTGAGTTCTGGGCACTAACGTCACTGCTACCGGTAGCGACTACGAACGTCAATACTATTTTTCTTCACCTCCAATTTGTCCAATGGCAGCCAAGTTTAAATCTTCAGCTTAGAAAGACAATCCCGTCTTTCCCTTTGAGACGCGCAACTAATCGGGAATTCTTTTACAACGTTGTGTGATAAAAATAATAATTATTGAAGCAAACGATTTAGGAATCTCTGTCGCCTGTCGCAGAAGCCTCACTCCTTCTCTGTTCTCTGAAGGTCACTGTGGACAGTTAGTTTACTGGTCATTTTCGGAGGAACTTTCTGAACCTTCTCCTGCCACAAAGAGGGTCCGTTGGCTGTCATGCGATCTGGCAAGACCTGCCCGACATTTCTGAAGAGCTGCCCAACATTTCTGAAGACCAAGAGCTCACAATTCAATATCCACAAACTCCAAAACCCACCACTACAGTACCAAACAACTAAACAACAACGCAAAATGACCAACAACAACAACAACAGCAACAGTTGCGCAGCCAACCCCATGATCTTTTTGGATAATCAAAATTTGAGGACCATGACAGCCAACTCGTTTCTTCAGGAAGATGCTCCTGAGGCCGGAAGTGGAACCACTGCTTCGAGCGCAATTCCCCAGCAACAGAGACAGCGACAGGAAATGGCGAAACTGCGTTCTATTCTGCAAGAAGCGATTGATCTTTTGGACGACTGGGATGATGAAGACGAATTGTAAATCAATCCAACGCTAGTACAACAAGACACACACATGTTCAACCAGTGACGCCACTGCGAAAACATACACATCCAAATCCTGGTGGACAGCCAGAACCTTTCCTAGCACCAATCCAAACTCTCCTTGCGAAATGGGAAAGGAGCTGTCGGCAGAGCCAAGCCTCAAACGACACAGAAGAAAGGACATATGTAAATACTGCAATGCATGCTATACAATATGGATAACAAAAAGTAAATTGGTGTTTTCTTAATTAATAAGCTTTCAACATGTAGTTGAATCGAATCAGTTTCTTTCCAACTATTGAAGGATGGCTCCTGCTATATTTCCTGTTTGTTAGCCACGAATAGTGAACGAAGTGTAGGTATTGATCAGTCAGTCTCTGGCTGAATAGCACCAGCCACAGTGCAAACTCCTTAGCTCTCTCAATTTTCTTTCTTGGGCATGACTGGGACGCAAATTTAACAATACCGTACCATCAAGGAAGCCAAGCCACCGGTGCCACCGTACCAGCCAGCAGCCAGCACCATGTAGGGCAGCCGGCAGCTTGCGTTTGTGCATGGCTTCGACAGCTCGGCTGGGCAGTGGAAGCAAGTTGGCAAGAAGCCCAAAGAACAGAATTGCCTCACTTGATCTTCAGCAATTCAGCACGGGCATAGTATGGGCACCACCCTCGTTCTCGTCAGCCATCTCAACAGCTTAGAAGTGGCCTCATTCGGAAAGAAAGTTATGATCCCGTAGTCTTCAGGACGGGACCAAAATAGAAGTATACAGCTTACAGCCGAACTACTGAGTACTAGCTACAGTACATGTAGTAGCTAACAAACGCCAAGACGCCAAGTCCCAAATTGAAAGTGCTCGTGTTCTTGGTTAGGTACTGTACCCGTACGGCGGAGTAACTCAAGATCTGCCGTGGAGTAACTCAAGATCTGCAACTCGGAGCAATAAAACCTGACCGCAAAAGAATGCAAGCTTCGGCTAACAGGTTTCTCCAACAGCCCTTCCATTCGCTTCACGCCAGATTCTCACTCAAAAAGACACTATGACACTACTTACTTTCTCTCCACTTCCACAGCTCTGTGGACTGTGGACACTGCCTAAACACTCAGTAGTTGGTCGAGAATCTTGTGTGTGGCTGTCCAAGATAGTCCTCATTAATTTTGTTTAAAGCGGAGAAATTGGTCTACATGTACTACAAAAAGAGAAGCAGCCAATAAATGCAAAGGGAAGACCTGGACTTCTTCCAAGGTTGGAGGCTTTGGCATGTTGCATGCAATATGCAATATCTCTCCAGCTCTTCACACGACATGTACTGCTCCAGCAGCCTCCAACACTCGATAGAAAATAATCAAAACTTAATAATCTACGTTTCTTATTATGTTGACTGGGTCATCTTGGATTGAACCACGTGGGCTTGCTGCGGTGGAATTGTCCTTCAAACGACCTTCAAAAGAGACAGAGAGCGAAGACTGGACGTGGAGGCTTTGAAGCAGCTCGCTTTCACCTTTCGGCAGAGGTTACCGGGACCGGGACCGGTAGGGTGGACTCGACTCTAGCTCGAGCAGGCTGTAACCCAGTCGTCTTTGCTGCCTCCTATCATTCCTCGGCGGACCATGATGAGGGCAGGGTCAATACATTGCCAAGCTTCCGTTATTTCTGTAGCAGTCCTGCTAGCCAGGCAGCTAGCCAAACAGTGGAGTGACAGTCAAACAGTCAACGGGTACCGTACTGACATGCGCAACGATCCCAAGTAGGGCGGTAAGCTTCTTGGATAGCCAGCTGCTGCTACCCGGTAGCTACTGCTTTGGAGGCTTTATGAGCAGTGGTCAAGCTACCGTATGAAGCAGAGCTCCGAGGCGAAGAGACAATGGTCCCAGTCGGAGCATGGAATTCCGGAATGGCACATTTTTCCAGACTACATGTGTTTTAACGTTAAAATCGCTGGAGCTTTTCTGGTACCACACCAGGACAGTATGCATCACGTACGCACGTACGCCACCTCAGCTGACCGCCGACTTTTAAATGCGGAAAACGAGAACTGCTCCAGCTACCAAAAGCTATAGTCTACCTAGTATAATAGTCTACATGCAGCATGCAGCTGGAGAGTAAGGAGTGTGACCGAGTGACAGTCGATCAGGAGCTGTTCAGGGGCAAGCTGTACTGAGTACGACTGTACTCGAATTACTCAGGACCAGGTATGACATAGTAGTACCGACTACTACTCCAAGTAGTATGTAGTTTTCCCGCGTGCAGCCAAGTCTTCATCTTGAACTTACAGTTTGTACTTTCAACATCACAGCCCTTTTTTTCCAAAGTTTTCCCTGCAGTCTGCAGTCGATTCGATGAGATTCCATTCAATCGCTCGTGAGGAGATACGGTACTTACTTAACAATCAACAGCCCTCTTTTCTCGGTGGAACTTCAATCGCTCTAGAGAGATACTACATGTATGTGTTCATTGTACTGAACTTTAGACAGGTTTTTCTTGCAATAAATCCAGATTGTGGAGGCCTGTGGAAATATTGGTTGGCTGAACAGCTCGCAGAGTCATTCGGAGAAAGAAAAAGGTCATGCAAACATTCGTGACAACTTGCGAGTGCACAACCAAAGCTGGTGACCTCACTTTTGCATTACATTTTGCTCCACTCTCACAATTTTCATTTCGGCAAACTCAAATCGCAAGCAAGATGGTAAAGCCAACGAATACTCATTCTCAACCCAATACAACAATTGGCAACGCCTTCGCAATGCTTCCAGAAGAGCAAGCAAATGATACAAGCATTCCTGATATCTTTGGATTTTCTCGGAGGCGGACAACAGCCGATGGAAGGCCCTTGCCACCGCAGGCAATTCTTTCTATGATATTGCAGGAAGCCCTTGACATTGTGGAAGAGCTTGAAGAGGAAATGGATTGCAGCAACGCTGCTGACAGTTCGTGTGGTCAGCCCGATGAACAACAAGGCAAACTGCGCTGAAAGCAAGATCACCAAGTGAACAAGATGTGGGGTGTGGGCCTGACCATGAAGGATAGCAAACATTTGCGCTACGAATGCAACGCAGGCTACTTGATAATGGCAATGAACTTGGAAAGAAAGGATATGAAGGAGAAAGATATCATACAGTGTGTACATATTTATAAAACTTTGACTTGTCAAAAAACACCCAATGCTTGTACCTTGCACATACCTAAATCCTTCTCCACTAGCTAGCTGGCGTATAGGGATATCGCTTTCTTCACTGTAGCCATTTGCCTCGCCGTTATGCTTGAAGTCTTATTTGTCTGGGACATGCATAGGTCTACAAGTCAAAACAGATACAAAAAGGACGGTGCTAGCCAACGATAAGGAGCAGGAGAGCCGAAATCCAATCGAATCACTCGAGTTCTTACAGGAAAGCCAGCCAAAACGCCCAAGTGGAGGAGGAGTGGTCTGGCTGGCTAGTAATACTAATACCCTGACGCCGATACAGTTATAGAATGATTCATGTCTAAGCGAGGACGAACAAGCAGGCTGCGTTGGTCCAAGGTATTTGGACTCGCAAGAATTGTTAAGGCTAAGATGGAACTATGCAGCGCATGAACTGGAAAGATGGTTGTTGAAGCTTTTGCAACCGGCATTGTTGCTTTGGAGCTGCATAAGACATCTTTAATCTTTAGTGATGGCACTGGCCTTGAATGCCAATGGGGCGACCAGCCAGATTGAGTGAATCAGAACAGGCTGGCGGCAGGTTGCTGCGCATGGGCTCTGCCTCTTGAAAGTTTCGCTCAAAAAGACAATGGTTAGAGGCATCCACTAAGTTGTGGAGGGTGCAAAGCTGAGGACAAGCGGCCAAATTCTTTCATGGTGCGTCCTGTGATTGAGAAAATGAAAATGAAAGTGCAAGCGCCATTCCCATGCGAGCCAGCAATCGAGTGCTGTAGCCAACTTTAGAATTAGCTAGTTGTACGTTGCTTGTATCAGTTGGAACTGGTGCGGGTCGGGTGGTCGGGTCAGGCAGCATGGGACTACAAAAGTCTATCGATTAGATGAGCAGATACCAAGACAGGTGTATGGACTTGGTACCGTACGGAGGTCAGGGCAAGCAAACAAGAAAAGGCCAAAAGTACCGGTTGGCGTCGAGTCGCGAAGAACTTCTTTGAGGGTCTCAGAATTGTACAGTACTTGAAACTTACTTGATGAGGTATCGAATGACTGCTTCGCCGGAAGCAAACCGCCTTTTGAAATCAGGAACCTGCACCCACTAAGCCATATTTCCTCTAAACTACATGTATCTTGGCATCCAGTCACTCGAGTATTACGCTACAACTTCATAACTAAACTACTAGGCTGGTGTATGCTGTGGCTGGACTACTATTATAGCTAGATAAAAGTTCCTTTTGCACCTGTGTGGGTTAACTTCAATACTCAATCTTCCAACAGCTTTTACTGCAGCCATCAAGCGAACACGCAGTCGTACGTCATTTTGCAAAATCTTGTCTCCTTCACACTATTTTAGTACTATTTAAAATAGTATTAATAGTCTTTTCTGTTTGTTGTGCCGGCACCTGCACTGTCCTCTGTCCTGACCAACACGAAGCGATTCCGTAGCTAGGGTCTTTTCATTCCGCAGCAATTCATTGAAGTTTTTTCATCAAGTCGGTATATAAGGTTAAATGACCTTGTTGACCACCGTCGACGAAAGCGTATCCACCAACGAACGCCATACCCGTGTCAAGCCTTTCCAAAAGGGCTCAACCAATCCAAACCAAGAGAAATGAAAGCACATAAAAAAACGTCAGTGAGAGAAGTGCTTTTTGGTCATCTTCAATAATTGTAAAGGAGCAAAAAGAACTGTGAGTGTCACAGCAGTTCTGGTTGTCCGCCGTTGTCACGCTTTCCTTGCTCGAAATCGGAAAGAGATCTGCTACGCTCACCGCAAGAGGCAACAGATGGCAGCCGGCTGATAACAGCTTCTGGTGCTTTTTGATGGACAAACAGGTGGCGGTAGTCTAGCCAACAGCTTTCAAGTGCAGCACACGAAAAGGTATCCTTCTCACAAATTATCACTGTTTGATTCTCGTTACTTTTTCCTGCAAACATCAACTACCACTTGCACAAAACGCTTCTTTTCCAACACAGCTCCACAATGAACCCATCCTCAAGTACCCCCAACAAATCTGGAGCCAAAGCCACCAATGTGCGAGAGAGTTTGATGGCCAGACGTGCGATGGAAGGTGACAACATGGGAATGGCTGAAGGCGATGTTGTTATGAGGGCCTCGACGCCAGCGGAAGCTCGTCAACTTCGCTTGGCCAAGTTGTCTCAAATCTTGGCGTTTGTGTTGGACCTGACAGAGGACGAAGACTTTTAATAAGAGCACTGTTTGCTCTTGGGTTTTGACCGCACCTAGCATCCAACATGCACAATTATGAAACAAAATTCACGCTACCGAACAATGTACCGTACGACCTGAGCAATGAACTACGAACAAACAAGCTACTACCGATACATGACATGAACGCCCTCCGAAATGGAACCACTCTATTGATACCAATAGCGCACGATGAAAAAACATCTTGCTAGCTAGCCGAGCTAGCTGCAACGAAAGTGTACTAGAAATTTACTTATTTTTGATATCAGCATCTAGCTTCTATTCTACATGTAGCTAGTAGAGGTAGTTTCAACACCAACTCATCTCACTAATTTGGAGTTCTTCAGAGAAGGTTGCGCACTGGAACTACATGTACTGTACACAGACAGGACGGTGGCACCAGCATTGAGGGCCATGTTGCTTGCTCGATTTGGAAGGCACCAAAGGTTTACATTCTTTGCCATCAAAGTTCCAGCGTAAAACTGAGAGCCCCCGTGAAAACGATGTTGCTTCAATTGGTGCAGTTCATCTTTTGAGTTCTCTCGCAACAGAAAACAACCAACCCAGATCACGTACAGTAGCAAGAACCTTTTCAACCCACAGCAAGTCTGCCACAAGTGGTAGCTATTGCTTTCTATTTTCAAAGAAGGAGCGATCTATATAACTACTACAGTAGCAACAACGAATAAATCGTCCAAGCACACTGACAGTGCCACCTTTCAGCACATTCTGTACATTTGGTCCACCAACGTGCTTCATTAGGGGCAGCTGTGTTGCTTGCTTGGCAAAGTGATTGTTTCAACTCTTGCTAGCCAGTGATCTGTCTGTCAACCTGGCTGAACTTCTCCCAACCAAGTGCTATGATAACCTAGCCTTCTTGGATCGTTTTGGGGCACCAGTAGCAATGGATGCCATGGATGACTGTTTTTCAACCACCAATGTTGCACTGTCATTCTCTGGTTTGGACAAACATTCTTCTTGTTGACTCTTGGCGCTCTTCCCCGGTGGCTTCTGCTTCCAGAAAACTAAATCCAAGTCTACCTCACCTTTGCGAAATAATCCTCCCTCCTTTTTCACTCGTTGTCGTCTCTCCTTGTCGTGGAGGGGGCATGCATACATTATTTGCTTGGTGCTGGCAAAAGGTTTATACCCCTTTTTGCAGGGGGTAAAGGGGAGAGTATCACCGTCTCCAAATCTCAAGGCAGCGGCTTGCATGGCTTTTCCTTGCAATGTCATGTTCGAGGAACACAACTTGCTGTAGTGGGACCCTCCATACAAGTCACCTGTGAAAACATTAAAAAGGGCAAGTAGTTAGAAAGCCACAGATGAGGAGGCATCACGCAACCAGCGATAATTAGCTAGCTAGTCGCTAGCCAGTATGCTAGTTTTTTCTTTGGGACTTACCAGTCGCTGTAGGGTAACCACAAACGAATCCCCAAGGCACCGTTGGGATAATACTGGCAGATATCCGATATCATTCACTGGGAAGGATTCCACAATCATTTGCTTCGGCAGAGGCACCAGCCACAGGGCGATGACTGTCTTCCGTGGCGAGCTTCTTTTGCTGCTCTTCGATTCGTTGTCGTTTCCCACTCAGCCGAGAGGACTTTCGTCGTTCCGACATGGCTTTTCTAAAAGAGTGATGTGGTTCCTGGTTACCTACTGGCTACTGTACACAGCTCGGTTATTGATGTGCCGTGGACCGTCGTTGTTTGTTGCCGCCTCCTCCGCATCGTGCCATCGTCGACTCTCGTCGAGCTCCCACCTCCCCCCAGTGTTGACGGCATGACGCACGGTTCTCTGCAAAGCAGCAGAGCTGGGAAAAGAAGCAGGAATGTGGGGTCAGTGCCAGGCCTCCATTTCATGGAACAGGCTCCCTCTCCGCCCCGCCCAATTTCATCAAGCTAGCCAGCTAGCTAGGGTGTCGCTGGCTAGCTACCAGTAGCTGGTTGTCGCACAAAATTTAATGGTTGATCTACAGTACAAAAATGCACTACCGGTACTAGCTAGGAATGGGGGCAGTTGCCTCGCTCTGGAAGCCTCCATTCTCACGGAAACACTCTCCAAGGCTTCTCTCGGTTTCGCCCTTTTCACAAAGTAATGACTACTAACCAGCCAAGGCTCTAACCAGTAGCTAGCTAGCTGGCTGTCGCACAAATAAATGGCTGATCTAGCTAGACTACCGTATCAAAAGGATTCGATTCAATCGGTACGGTACGATACGTTTCTGTTTCGTTACCTCAACACAGAGTGAGTTTCTTGGCTTGGAAACCTCGACAGATCGACCAGGAACATTTACGGCCAGCTCTGAACCTACTGCGATGCGAGCAAGCTTTACGACCTCAAGGCAATACCGAGTGCAGAACCTCCTTTCGCTAAATGTGACTGAATTCAGAAGGAGCCTTGCTTCTCCGCAATCGGAATTCGGAGGAGAGGAGGATAGCAGCTGAAAATAATGGAAAGCAATTAATTTGGCTACTAGGAAGAACCCCGGCCCATACGCTTGCTTCCGACAACCAACAGGAACCGTATTCTTGTCGCACCACAATACCGCCACAACATAGCACTATCAACCGCGGAAGCCTCCCCCGTCGATTCCAAAAGGGAGAGAGGGAGGGGCCATTACAACCACGGGCTAGCCGCTACCATGGTACACCATGCATCAGCTTTGCATTTTGCATCCTACGAGTTGCTAGCAGTATTCAGTCTTCGCTTTTTCAGCTTTTTAGCAACCAATCAATAGTCACATACAAGTACTGGAGTAGTCACTACATACATGTACTCAACCAGATGCCACCCCCCGTCTATGATAGCCATCTCACCATACTTCGTACTTCGTATCGTTCCTGCGGCAGCTCCGGACATGTGGACGGTGGATGGTGCTACATGTACCAACTACTGAAGCTCTACTGGGTACCTCAGTGCCGGTACCGGTACGGCTCCCGTACGTTATTGGAACTCGCAACCGAAAGAACGCTGCATGGTGGAACGATGAAGCCAGTGCTCCTGAAATGATTTAAAGCAAATTTGGCTGTGTGGTCACTGTTCCAAGTTTAATAAATCTATTTGGAACTGGCATTCGTTTGATCGATTGTCTTCAGTAGAAAAGTGCACTGAGCGGTACAAGCCTCATTTGTTCTTTTAGAAACTGCAGAGTTTTACGGGCACATGCCTGTCGAGAGGAGAAGCTCCGAGAGTCTGGGGACTCTGGGGGAGCTTCTTTGCAAGGAAGCAAGCCGAAGTCCGTAATGAGGCTGTTCCGAGTGTGCTGATAAGTTGATAACCTTGTAGGCTTCGAGAAAGAGCCCAAAGCCGAAAGCAACTAGCTAGCTAGCTAGTAGTACCTGTAGAGTTTATCAATAATCGACTCGACTCGGCTCAAAACGAATTCTTTCTTTCGTAAGGAAGAGCTTTGGAGCTAACCTAGCAAGAGCAAACACTTCCCTTCCGATTCTTCTCATAATTTCAAAAAAGCAGCAAAATCTCCTCCAATCTCAAAAGCAAATCTTAGCATCCAAAACCAAAAACCATGAAGCTTCCAGGAAACCAATCGACACCTCCCAGGAACAATGGCAGTTATAGAGCCTTCAGCTTGACATCTAGGAATCCGCTTACCATCCACCACGAGACAACGGATCCATCGAACCGATTGCCGATGAGGCTGCTGTGCAACGTCGAGCCGTCCCACGGACTTTCAGCACCCAATACATCCCCGCAGGCTCGCCTACAAGCAATTCTGCAAGATGCACTTGATCTGTTGGATGACGAAGACTTTGAGGAGTAGATCAGCGTCCTACAAGTCAAAACCTCTCCCAACTTCAGAATACCTCCCAGCTCATTATACCCCGGTTCAAATGTCATGCATATTCCATACAATATAAAGTTTATAAGCTACTAGACTTACATATACATGCCATACAAGATGTGTCCTTACGAGCCTTTTAGTGCACCTACCTTGTGTATCTTGGATTCCCTTTCACTCCAAGTGGATGAACCGTTTCTCATGTTTGCATTGCCAAACCATTGACCACTTCCAGGGTTGTCAATTATAAAGAACGCTCAGAAACTGATCAGCGCCCAAATCACGTTACAATCCTTGTGTTGGCTGCTCTTGCTTGTGTAGCAATCCAGAATCCATTCAAATGGGCCTGGACTACGTACGACTGTACATGCGGGGGGTATCCTCTGGCGTTGATCCTGGAGTTGATCATGGTAAAGTTCAATGTTGCTTGGCCTGTGTTGGATCCAGGAGGTTTTGGTGTTTTTGGTTCCAGGAGACTGGCGAACTGTCCATTGACCTAGGGCTGGGCATTGGGTAGGTCATGCAATTGGTTCTGGCGCCACGCAGCTTTTGGCTGTTTGTGCTTCAGCCAGTCCCAGTTCGAAGCCATCCTGTCCTTCCTTTGAGGGAGCACATTGCTCTCAGAATGGATCTGGCAAGCAACCTGGTGACGTGCCCACCCTGCCTCGCTCTGCTGAACCCCGGCCAACACAAGAAGAAGACAAGATTGGTCAAGAGGACGGAATGGAACCCAGGGAGTCGAACGCGAAGGAAAGCATCAATGCGACCACCTTCTTGAGAAAACCGAGCCACGACTCATCCCCTCGACTGGGCTCGCGAGGACTGGTGAACCCAAGCCAAAGCACCCTATCAGAGCAGCAAAACCGACAAGGCAAGAAACTCAAGCCAAACAATGTCGCTAGTTTCCCTGTTCTACCTATTCATCTGCATTCAAGCCCTAGTGATCCAACAGGTCTTTGCAGCAGCAACTTTCCGTCCAATCCCAGAGGGTGGAATCTGCTTCACGGTGACATCTCCTTCTGATGGCTCCACAGATTTGGCCTGCATCACTTATCATGGCTCTGTCACTCCACCACCATCACTGGTTCTTGAAAATGGAACCGTCCGGCAATTTGGAGAGTATGCACAGTACTATCAGTGGAACAAGGGATATCCAAACAACAATACTGCCATGCAAAACGAGCCAATCGGTTATGTAAGAGTCGGGTTTACATATGAAGGCCCCGAACACTGCATTGTAAAGGTTGATGGAACTGCCTGTTGCAGCTGTAGTTCCTGCTTGGATTCCAATGGAACAACAGTGGGAATGAAAGCGGACTGCACCAACGTTCCCAATGGCAGGCTGGTCGAGAGGTGTGAGCCCGTGGCCAATTTCTTTCCCTTTGATTTGGGTTTGGGGGATACATCCATGAAGGAATGCAATGTGGACGAACCATTGTTCTTGGGTCCCACACATTTCCAAGTGGAACAGGACGATTCCGGTGCAGCCATGGAAGACTCAAGCGACGGTGATGGCTCTCCTTCGTCGTTTGGTTCTGTCGAAACCAGTGGCGTACTCGACAGGGGATCAATTCGTGGTTGTGCCTTGATGTCTTCTATCATTATCGTCTTGTTGACAGCAAGCTTGTAATGTAGAGAGCATTGGCGTAGATTGAACAATAAGCATTTACATCCATTTTGGTCCGTCGTTTAGTCCGTCGACTGGATGCGTGCAGTCGATCCTTGTGCAACATTACAAGTACCGGTAGCACCAAATAAATCATCTACCCCCATCATCGCACTATGCATGGCCCTGTATCCACTTGCACCCAGAAATGGGGCGCACCCAGAAATTGGACTAGAGTGGCAGCTCCGCCATTCCGTCCGGTGCAAGCTTCCTCCATGGAGCAGCAAGGAGGAAATGGAGGTTTCCCTCCGCCGTCGTCGTGCCGGATCAATCCAAGCTCGCCAAGGGCGCCATTGCAAAGGCGGGGGCGACAAGCGCATGTTTGACGTGACTGCTGCCAGACGAGATCTCGGCATGACCAACATTTACTGATGAAAGGGAATATATATTCTTTCATTTTCGATGCACTTTCGATGTTCGATCGATGGATGGATGGATGGATGGATGATAGATGAATGAATGAATGAATGACGACCGGCGTGTATGCATGCAATCGATCCTTATCATTGCATAATAATAATAATTCGAACATGTGTAGCCGGCGTCTTGATGGCTGTGACCTATTCCAAAGGCAATGCTGAAGTTCATACATCATGGTTCATAGATGCATGTTGGTTTTGGCTGCTGCCAAGCCAATCCGTTGGAGTCATATTTGTGCTTCTGATCCATGCACTTGCTGCATCAAATGGGAAAGCGTTCCTGTCCTCATCGACTTGACTCGATTCGATTCACCTCCAGACGTGATCCTCAGTGTTATCGAGTGCGCTACAGTCTTTGTTGTTGTTGTTGCCATTCTTGCACCCGAATGATATGAAACAACCATTGACTATTGAGATCACTGCCTCCTCCGGGACTGCAACTGTGCAAACAATCATTCATGTGAGCGCGATGATTGTCGGGTCGTAAAATATTGGTCTGATACGAGTCCATAATGTGGATGGTGGTGTGTGACAATACTGGTTGTTGGATCCAATGTGTCACGAGTTGATTTTGTCGTTGGAAATCTTGCCAATGATATTCTCCCTTGCGATAAACAGTGGGATCGTTGGTGGACTTTTCGTGAATCCATTCTTGCATGTCATGCACACTGGTGGCGGGTTGTGAAAAATTGTGACAATGAGGATGTCCGGGTACCGTGGTGCGCCAAATCAAGAGACACTTTTGTTGTGGATAGTGTTGTCGACGACATGCATCGTTCCATTGCTGCACGACGGGCCAAGTCCGTGTGCGGAGACTGTCCATCAATTCGTCATCGGGTGTGTAGTGCGCTCCTCGATTGAGTACCAGTACGCGAGGAATTTTTGCCGTGTGAAAGAGAGCGTGTGTCATGTTTTGCAGATAAAAATCCGTGGAGAACACGAGATCCATACACGCCTCCTCATCACTAGTACAAATATGCCGTTGAATCCGTCCGTGTTTGATGGCTTTGGGTGGCAATCGTGCCCGCTCTCCCAGTAAGTGTACCAAGGACGCGTAATGCTCCAACGACAAGGAATCTCCTACAAAGAGAACGGTTTGATTGTGGAGAAGACGAATCATTTCCTGCTTGTCGAATCGCACTAGTTGACACGACGATGGTTGCCATTCCCACGTGTCAAACGGCTGCGAAAATGCCGACGACGGCAAACACCGGACCCGAGGACTCATGGGCATGTAGGGAGAACGAGGCAGTGTCACGGGGCGCCATTGGCCGTGTGTGATTTCATCGTTGTCCTGACATATTATTGATGGTTCTGGCACTCCTGTCTTTTCTGGGTTGTCAAGAGTTTTCTTGGGAGTGGAATGAGCGTGGTCTTTTTCTTGCAATGATGATTGGCTGTGTTTTTTCACTGGTGGTTCAGGGACTTGCTTTTGTAAGTCCAGGAGAGTCAACGACGAGATGCTCGAATCGTCACTCGGCATCCGAAACAGCACCAACAGAAGAATTCCAGGCAACCAAAAGTACTTGCTGTGGAACATCATTGTCCTGCCAAATGACAATGTCATCAAAACTGGTTCGTACCGGTAGTTCGCCAAGAATATTCAGCACGCAAATTCAATCAATCAATCAACACCCGCCTCGCCATGGAAATACGGTGCGGTACCGTACGGTGGCTTATGTTGTGGTCAGCGGAACCTTTACCAAGGAAGGCAACCGACGCATGCAGGCTACTGACACAAAGGAGGCAACGCCATCGGTCAAATGCAGGGAGGCCGTCCTTCTTCCAAACCTACAGGACACTTGCTGTTGGGTGTTTGCTTGCTTTGTTTGGGGTTGTCCCTGATCTTTTTTCTGCTTCCAGCTTTAGCGTTAGGGCCACGCCTTTCCCGATCTGGGACTGATATCTTCACGTTCTTGCCTTTTAGATTACATGTACATGTAGATATACTCATGGCATTGCTAGCTACAGTAGTTTTCTCTTGATGATGGGATTACTACACTGAGCTTTCAAGAAGCTCTGTCTTATAGAGTTACCTTCTCTAGTTCAGTCGCTGCCTGGTCCGATAAGAACCTGATTTAATAAAATTAAGTGGCATAGATTCTGTGTTGTCACTTTGAGTTGCTACCCAGTATTACACCAATACAAACAGCAAGGACTAAATAAAAAGGAAGTCTAATCTGCCAAATGTAGGAGTTGCCCAAATGTTGATTTCATGTATGTGTCAGTACCGAAGTAGCTAGCTAGCTTGCCAGATTGGGTGCGTTGGTCCTGTTATTGCTGTCGGAACGCAACATGGCCGGAATGTATGTTCTTAAGAGCCGGGTAACATGGCAAATGAGGGAAGATCCGGATCGTAGTTGCGAAAGATCGTTTTCCTCCCTCACAGACGCTTTGGATTCTGCTCACAATCCAACGATCACATCCCCAACTGCTGAACTCATCCGCTATCTCTGTGATATCCAAACGTTGGTTCCTGCTGCTCCTAAGTATTGTAGTCAAGATGAAGCAACGTACGACGCAGCACGAAAAAGAAGCGAGGCGGAAAGGGAAAAGAGAAGAAACTGCCTCGCTCCGAACAGACCCAACCAAATGCCTTCATGGTCATGTGTATTCGGCTGTGGACGTGGTCGGGATCCTCCAATATGATGAGATGACAACATTCATTCATTCATTCATTCAGGATATCGCTGATAAGTTTGACAACTTGCTCTTGACCCAGGGGAACGTACCTGGTAGCTACCTACCCTAACATTGTTCGTCATCGGAAAAAGGTGGTCCCCTGTCTGCACGCAGTCGCCGCGGACTATCTGTTGTTGGACGAGGAGAATTGGATGGAATCCGTCAAGGTGCTGAAGGCAGCCATTCTCCTAGAAAAATCTGACTCTATCATGTTTGATAAGGATCCTCCCAACAGCGACCTGCATTCTTTGGGAAACGAGGTTAATCGGTTGGGATGGCGTTTTGTCAAGCATTGTGGAAGCAAGCGAGATGTGGTGGTGTATGTGGACAAGAAGATCCCCTGCAGCTGTTTGACTGACCTCAAGAAGAAGGTGATGAAAGAGCCGGAAATCCGTACCTGTGGCTACTGTCAGAAGCATACCGCCAACACCATGTGGTGTGAAGAATGCCATGCGGCGGAGTACTGCTCCAAGCAATGCCAGCTTGCAGACTGGCCAGACCATCAAGATCCATGCAAATTTCTAGGAGGAGAGTTGACAGAGGAGGAGAGTTGACGGAGGAGGAAATTGCGCAAGCTGCGGACATGGCCCGCTTGAAGGCAAACTCTTCTTAGGGAACAGAGCAAGAGAGTATGTTTGACCTCGATTGTAATGGTGAGGTGGTCGACAGGACAACCATGAGAACGTAGTTGCTTTTGGAGTGTTGACGACTGGGGTAGGGAGTCTGTTTCGAGTATGTGCCGTATACAGGATGACTTCTTTTACGGCTGACAGGTGTAAAATGTGAGCGTTTTTTACGGTTATGTTTCGGTTTTCGGAAATGGGACCCCGGAAGTGGTCATTTCGCGAATCGTGCTTGTTTGCGGCCAGCAGCAGAACAGAGAAGAATAACAAAGAAAAAATCAATTTTACCACCATGGCAACAGTGTTGGCCAAATGGTCTCTAGCTCTACCATTACATTGTTCTAGCTGAGTCTGTCAGAGTACTAGCTCCCCAACACACTCACAGAGCCACAGCTTGAAGGGACTCAGCTATCTCCAAGGTTTCCAATGGAGCATCTAGGAAAAATCAGGCTTGGATTCCATTTTGTTGTCATTCTGCCATGCATTTCTCCATGGGAAAGGTGCTCCTGTCCTCACTCTGAGCACTCAACCTGCACTGTAGAGTCTGGTAGAGGAGTGGGTGGCTCTGCATGAAGACTGGAGCACCCAGTTCAAAGATTCAAAGGAGAATTGTTGACTTGATGACCAAAATAATGAGCAGATTTCATGTTTCCAGTCAGTCGACCAATCAAATGAGTAGTAGAAAAGCGGTCGCTTGCTGCTTTCGTAGTAGGACTGTCTCCATAGGATTCATGGCCGCTCCGTAGAAGAGGAGGCATCATTGCCGCGCCATGAAAGAGGCTCCGTCTGTCAGCAGGAAGAAGACCGAATCGATCCGTCGGAAGAAGCTTGTTGCCATCGCTTGTTGTTCTAGTAGTAGCAGTCGCTTGTTGTTGCCGTAGAGGTGTCGTCGTTCCGTGGAAGAGGAAGCGTCATGGTCGCTCCGTGAAAGAGGCTCCGTGGAAGAAGAAAGAAGTCATCAACCGAATCGATCGTCATTGGCCGATCGACCGAACGATCGAACGGCTGCCGCTGCCGCTAACCAAACAAGAGGAGCCTGTCATGGTGGTGAGTAGAAGCCTTTGTTTAGAGGAGTAGCCGCAATAGAGGAGTAGCATCATCTTGATAGAGTCAATAGAGAGTAAAGATAGAGGTATCGAAATAATGAAAGAGCTAGTATGTATGAGTGGCTTGGATCGATCGATCCGAGTGATGTCAGCTGAGATTAAGGTTAAGGCTATTTATGTCCCTTAAGTCTTTTCGAGGAACGTTCCAAGAGGTTCTGGTTCGCATTCGAATGTCTTACCGGGAGCGGGCTTGCGTTTGTCTCGATAGCTTAGATTCAGCCTGTAGAATGACCAGACCAGGCTACTCCTCGAATCACCACTGGAAAAAGAACCACCACTGAAAAAACCCGGAGGTGCCGGGTTGAGAAGTCAGTTCGGCTCTGCATCCAATCACTTTTTGAGATCATAAGAACAGACAGCCGTAGGCTAGTGCCCTCAACCAGAATTGAATAGAAAGCCAAGGGGCTCGAGCAGTTAGCTAGTATTTGCTCCAATGCTATGAGTGATTACAATATCTAACCATGTTCTTTGTTGTCGTTGTTGCCCTGTTGTGGATTCCATGTCTGAGGTTTTGGCGGTAACTCGAATGAAGGTTCATTCTCCGAAGACTTGTAGTAATGAGCAGCTCGACTGGATTGGTCTGCCCAGTACTTAAACCAGCCAGCTTGCCGTTCAAGTTCATTGTAGAGTGGTGCTCCCTTTTGCAAATGGCACATGTGATTTTCGTGATGCTTGGCTTGAGCATTCCACTGATAATACCGGTGTGTGTAATCAGCGACCTTTTTAGCACGTCCTTTACTCCATTTTTCCATTTCTTGAATCTCTTTTTCCCTTTGTTGTTCTATCTTATCCCAATTTGGACGGTGCTCTTTGCTCCATGCTGAAACCTGCTCACGCCAGAAACTGATGTCTTCTGCTTCCAACATCTCATAGTAGTCATTGTAGCGTTATATTTCAGCCTCGCGTTCGTCAGTTGCCTGTTCAGCACACTTGACAAGTTGCCATCTCAGTCTGTCAGATTCCTGCCTGATTTCTGCCTGCCTTGATTCTTCTTCTTTCCATTCAAAGTTGCACCCATCCATTGCTTCCCACTGTGCCACTTCTCCAAAAGCTGGCTGTAGGAATAGATCATTCATTCGTATCTTCTTCTCCAGCTCGGATCTTTGTTTGATGAATCTATTTTCTATTTTTTCCAGCCTCATTTTATGATCCTCTCTTTGCGTTCTCAAAAAGTATATCTGGGACCACTCTCTCCGTTTCCTGTCTCGGTCCTTCCTTTTCCGATTCTCTGATTGTTGCTTTGTTTCCTCCTTACGACTCTTGCACTTCCTTTTTCGGTCGGCTTCCCTTCTTAGGTCTTTCTCCTCTTCTGTCAATCCAGCCCGATGGAGACGCATTCTTTCTCGTTGGGCTTCTAAATCTGCAAGTTCCTGCTCGGTTGTTCTGTTGGCTAACTTCCTCTGTTTGGTATATGCGATTGGCCTCAAGTTTCCTATGGTAAGCAGGTGTTCCACGTTTGACAGGCATGTTGAAAGCAGCAGTTCCAAGACTATGTATTGATGGACAATGGATGGGATTTGGGCATGAACCCCCAGGGTGGCTGCTACGGCTGCTGGTGTTCTGGTTGTGGAGGGGCTGGGTTCTCATCATGGGGCATCTGCACGGACATAAAAGGGGAGCTGCAAGGACGGAAATCACAACAAATAGTTCAAAGGCCCTCAGCTTGCTAGCTGGTAGTTGAGGGCAATGGCTGACAGAATTACCCCAAGCAGTTTGGCCAATAGAGTCAACCTGACAATACTTTGAGATAGGGAATGCTTAATTTAAACGTGCCCGTCGCAGTGGTGATAGCCACTTGTCCATTTGATGGCCATGAGAGCAACGAATGGCTGGCAAAGTATGTTTTGGGGAGAAAAAGTGAAGCTTCTACTTTAACATAAGATAATGCCTTCTACATGGATGCAACCACTACAACCAGCACATGGCTGCGACAAGCAAAGAATGTAGATAACTTTATATATTTAGCTTGGTTGTGTAGGTGCTATATTGGTTGAGTTCATCCTGTACTCTTCCTTTAGCTCTTTCCTCATTACAAGAAGATCTTCATGGTAGAAAGCTACCACAGCTCTGCAGGTTGCGCAAACTGCAAAAATTTCAGTGGTGGTTCAAGGAGTAGCAGGCATGTGAGGCAATACAGTGTACTAGTGCACTAGCTAGCTAGCACGCCATGTGCGGTAGTCCACTGTTGCATGCTCTCGAGCTACGCAGGTAAAATGATTTTTCTAAACGATTTAAAGGATGTTTTACTTATGGGACGACCTTGGGGGCGATCACAACTGTCCCCGAGATTTAAAGGACAGTTTTTTGACATAGGGGACATGGAGGGACGTTTTCAAATCGTCACCTATTTAAGACGGTAGTTTCTGTAGCGAATTAGGGGTCAGCCTTTATATAAGGGACGATTATGGACACTAGGGATAGAGTAGAGACGATTTAAGGGACGATTCTGAATCGTCCCTTCATATCGCCCCTTATATTGCAATAATCGTCCTTTAGGAGAATCGTCCTTTAAATCGTCCCTTGAGGTTAAATCATCTCATAATTGAAGAGACGATTTAAGGGATGATTGAGATTTAGGGGTTGAATTAAGGGACGGTTTCAGACACTGTTGATCCAACTTAGTCGCAGAGCCCTAACCTCCAGAGCAGGAAATGTGTTTTGCTTTCGCTTGTTGGGTTGCTTGTTGTGATTATTATCACCATCGGTGCTGTCTGTGGAAGTGGTGTGTGCAATGGAGGCAGCAATGAGCCATTGGTGCCTACAATGGCTCCAACCTCACAGAAGTATTTTGAATATCAAATGGTAATTTTGGATTTCTTTGGAGAGGACTATTTTGATGGAATGGATGCTGAATCTTCCCAGTACCTGGCCTTGGATTGGATCAAAAATGATCCAATATCACAAGAGGATGATCATTTCATTCAAAGATTTGTTTTGGCAGTCTTTTACTTCCACACATCGCAGCAATCGCGGTGGCATCGATGTGCCCAAAAAGATGGAACCTGCCACACAATGGATGGAGATTTCATTGGTGTTGGTTGGATGGAAGCGAGCAATGAATGCATTTGGGGTGGAATAGAATGTGATGATATAAGTGGTCTTGTGACGGAGCTGAGAATGATTCACAATGACTTGAATGGAGAGCTGCCAACAGAGCTGGCTGTTCTCTCCAAGTTGACCAGTCTCAATTTGATGGACAACAAGCTCACAGGGCCCTTACCATCAGAACTCTTCACTCTTGCTTCATTGGAGGAACTGAACTTGAGTGGCAATTCTTTGTCAGGAGAGATTCGGACTGAAATTGGACTCCTTACAAGTCTGTCCCAGATGGATCTGTCAAGCAATCAGTTCTTAGGAAGATTGCCTGAAGAATTGTCAGCCTTGACAGGGTTGTACCAGTTTGACATCCATGGAAATGCCCTATATGGCCGGATTCCTCAAGCCATATGTGACAGTGCCAACAGCCACAATCAGACTGAAGAAATAATAGTCAAGGCAGACTGTTTCGAAGAAGCACAAAGTCGTGATCAAGTGGACTGCCCAAAAAGCGGCTGCACAGAATGCTGCTTTCAAGGGGAGTGCATCCCTGGTGAATGAGTGACCCATGAAAACGTTACTAGGGGCTTCAAAGAAGCTAGCTTTTTGGGTGCATATCTGTTAGCTGGAGCATGTAACGTGTATTTACTTCACAGTCCGTGTGGCATCAATTATTCCCTTGCAAAACAAATAGAAGCATGCCACAATATCGACTACTTATGCAGGCCATGGGTCCCATGAATCGAGCCGAGGAGGTTGTGGACTTGGGCCTGCCACTTTTGAAACAATTGGGTTTCCTTGAGGGAATGCCAAAGCGCCCCGGTGCTCGTCGTTTGCGATAGGACTGATCAAACTCGAAGACAGATGAGTAAGCCCTCACCAGGACTGATCAAACTCGAAGACAGATGAGTAAGCCCTCACCAGGATCCTTGGCAAAACTACCCAAGATGACAGACCCAAGGCGCTTGACGCTATTGGTTTGATTGACTAGACAATATTATATTCCTTTGTTGTTAGCTCCAATTTGTTTGCTTACTTGTGTCTCAAGGGTGTCCGCTGGGCATTCAAGTGGGGTAGCTGCCAACACAGTGCTGCCTTTTTGCTTGTTATGCCCTCGTGGTTGGATCAGTCCTTGGTGACTTTGATAATGGTTTGATTGTGGGTGAATGTGCTGTTGCAAGCGCAAATGAACCTGATGCGAGGGAAATGCTCCCAAAAACCATCTTTGCTGCGTTTGAGCACAGCCCAACCATCAGTCTAGAACTCTGCACGGCGAGGCTTCTGCAGTCAAGTGGTACTGGTGCTACTACAGGACGCAGTAGCCTTAGAATACATGTAGTTGGTTGATCTCCTCCTTATTATTGCGCTGACTTGGGGCTGTACTGTACTAGTAGCCTAGTCCGTCGTCGCACCATTGCCGGCAACCCGGAAACGTGCCAACGACGGATTGTACCACGATCCCAGATAGACATAGTCTCCAAATCGTTCTCCTTCGGATATCCACGGAAAGACCACGGAATCATCCTTGTAGACGGCAATCAATTTGCCGGTTTCGTCGTAGACGGCCAATGCCGACAGTTTGGGAATCAAATTGACCAGTATCCGGTAGGGTACCACTGCCACAACAATGGCTTTGAGCCACGGCTTTTCCGATGCCAATTTGAGCAATGAAAAGGGTTGTGCAAATTTGGATCCCAGTCCGGCCCAGTAGCACTTGCGCCCTTGTTCGCCTTGGGTGGGCAAATGATTCATGGCATCGATATTGTCACCGGTACCGGGTAGGACGGACACAAAATCGGTGAATTGCTGCTTGGCGAGTGAAAATTGTTTGATTTGAACGCCACAGACAATGAGCAAGTCGAGTCCATTGTGACTCAGCGTGATTCCATTGGGCATGTACAAATTATCGGCCACCACTGATACTGTGGCGTCGTGTTTGGAGTACCGCAACAATCGTCCATTGGATCGTCCATCAAAAGCGGCAAAAAAGATGCGTCGTCGTTCAAACGTTTGCGTGGTTTCCGTCATGTAAATGGATCCATCGGGTGCTTGGACGAGAGCATTCAACAGTCGAAGTTGGTAATTGGGGGCGTCCGTCTTGGCACGAGTGGCCAATGTGACAATTTCTGGGGCATCGCCGTAAATTCCCGTAATCATGAGCAACCCCTTGTAGGCGTCAGCCACCAGCAGGACGTCTTCTTTCGATTCGCTGGATGGATCGACGGTGGATCGTTTGACCACTTTGAGTCCCAAAGGACGTCCACACTGGGATTCCGTTTGACTTTCGTCCGAAGGAGAAAAGCCACACTTAGCACCATCCGTAGTTCCGGTTCGAACGAGAAATGTCCATTGGGCTTCCTGCTGTTGTCCTTTGGCATGCGACAGACGCGCAATTCGTCCGTCTCCCAGCGCGACAAACATAAATCCACTCGCCGAAACGAGAGATTCGGGACCCACCAATTCGCCTTCTCCCACAATTTCCAATTGTCCCGTAATGTTGCGAATTTCTGCCGTGGGAAACGCGGGAAGGGCCGGCAATGGAGTGGAAACAGGAGAGACTCCCGTAGCGGCGAGCCGATATTGGATAAACAATGGCAGGCATAAGGTTGCCAGCAGGGATATTTTGAAGAACGACATTTTAATTGAGGGGTAGCTTTGGTATTTCTGAGCCCTCAAGAGTTGAGCTTTTGATGTAATTGTGATATTTTAACGACAGTGCAATAACGCAACCTGAACAAGAGATTCTATGCAGCATCATGCATCAAGTTGACTTGTTGGCTTGGTCACCATGAATCATGCATCATGCATCATGCATCATCAAGTGTGTGAGTTGGCAGAAAGGATACCGGTAGGATGAATTGTGAGAAAAAGGTATCTTGACATTGAAACGTGTCTGCCACGTCATTGCGGGAGACCCACCACAAAGATCCACATGGACCTTGCTTCCAAGAAAGCTCAAGTTTTTGAAACAAGCACCGTACCGTCAGCATACTGGTAGATGCAAAAGGATCTTGATGAAACTTCCCGTGCGGTGCTACAACTCATTTGTTCTATTAAAGAGTGGTTACAGTACTATGGCTCAGAGGGGACTGTGGTGAGGAGGGGGCGCAGAATGCACAAACGCGAGCTGTGCAATCGATCGAGTGAGCAGAGCAGCAGCAAAACCAAAGAGGGGAGACAAGTGGAGGGCAGGGAGGACTATGCATTTACTAGAGTGTTGCGTTGCCACTTGTGCGTAGCCAGGGTCCATTGCTTACAACAGACAGAACCCGCAAACACATGTAAATGTTACAGTTGCTTGGGCAACTGGCCGTGTAGGTACATACAAAGGTTTCCCGCCTCACTGTCGCCCTTGGCATCGGCTCCGCTGTAGAAGATGTTCCAGGCGCTACGAGAGAGGCAAATCCACAATCAACGGCGACCCACCACCGGACGGATCGATCATGAGCAGGCTTTCTTGGCATCCATTGAGTAATAAAGTAGCAGAAGAGAGATCTTCATTCAGCGCTTGCGCAACGCCATAATGACCATGGTTGTGCCCAAAGACGTGCAATAATGGATGATGCCGACCATGTCGGTGGACCTGTTGGGTTAACAGTTTGCACGCTTTTGATTCGTCGTCAGAACCAAAGCCCAACGGAGGAACATGCGTGAGCAATACATCCACATTTTCAGGGATTCGACTCCAGAGTTTCTCGCGCTCCTTTTCACTGAGTTCGAATCCGTTGGATAGATATCGCTTTCCCATGCACTCGGCTCGACAGATGCAAGTTGGGGTGCCGTAAATGGTCAAGCCACGGTAGGTGGTCGTGCTGTTTTGGAGGTAGGATACATTGTCATGTTGCTCCAGAAATGATTGCAGAATACGTTGGGCATGCTGATGGGCGTCTCGATTGCGGTTTATGTAGCGCGGATCCAACTTATCCATATCCAAATACACATCATGATTTCCTGCAATAAATACCACTTTAGCGAACCGTGGGCAAATTTCGTTGTGCAACCAGTCCAAAAAGTCTGCAAAGTGTTCCACCAGATTCGTGTGTGGGTTCTTGTAGTTGCAAATATCTCCAGAATGGAGAAACATATCGCCTGGTGGAATCTTGAGAAGACGATGCTGATTGTGGGTATCTGAAACATGAATGACACGGATGCTACTATTGGTTTCATGTGGATGTCTTGTCGACGACTGCGAAGTGACGACAAGCCGTGCCACTTTTTGATGCAATGCCACAGTCCAGTTGTGGCTTTGTTGAAAACGATGCGTCTTCCATCCCCGTGCAACATCTAGAAGTTGCTTCTCTCGTTGTCGACGGTTGTCGACTACCTCGTTCGAAACAGTCGGTTTGTTGGGAGCGACAGTCAGCAAAGCATCTTGTGTTGATAATGTTGGTAGCGCTACTGCATCAGTAATATTGAACAGACCGCGCATCGAGGATTCCAACTCTTCTTTACTGCACACGACGGCATCCGCACCGACGTGGATGCAAAGTCGAAAGGAGTCTCGAGATTGACAAGCCGTGCGAGAAAAGACAATCCGGTACATCAACGGCGATCTTCGCATGGCCAACAGAAAGAGTGGACTAGTTAGATTCCCCGTTTGAATATTATCACGTTGAATCACTTGATCCTCCGGTGTTGTTCCTAGAGCCACAACCAACATGTGGTAGCTGTGTTTCTCCAGCGCTTGAACAGCTGCAGCAACAGTGCGAACGTGGTGAACCCTCTCCACCAAGGAGCATTCAGATATAAGCGACGCTTTGTCCTCGGAGGCTAAACAGAGTACAGACAATTTCCATTGGGAGACTGGTGCTGATGCTGGTGCTGATGAATTGGCCATGGTCAAGTGTTCCGAGGTCAAGTTGTCTTTTCTTGAAATAATGTGAAATGGAAGTCTGCCATTGGAATGGAAACCGGTATGCAAGTCTGGGCCAAACGTTCCGAAGACAGTGCTCCTGAATGGCAGCGGTATCCAAGAAGATCGCTGGCTTTGCTTCAATTGAATCTTTAATTAAAATGTGAGAGGACTGAGCTCTTCTGGCTCACCGAACATTCAAATCTACCGTTGCACACAAACGGCGCGTAAATACAGCTCATTCGGTACGAGAGGCTCCCGTAGGCCGGGCCAGCACGATTAAATGGCGCTCCTCGTAACTTCCCGCCAAAGCATTGTCAATGCTACCCACGCCAGAGATCCATCTTCGTTCACACACACATGCATGCCATTCATCAGTGATGATGTCTACGGTAGCTTGCCTCCAACAACTCCTCCCATTTATTTGAATCCAATCCAAAAGATCCGTGTCCAGTCTGACTACTACTATTATTAAAAAGACAATGACAATGATGATGTTGCGTTCCGCTTCGCTTCTTTTGATCCTCCTTCCGTCTCTGACGACCGCCTTTGGTCCTCCATGGTGGGCCAACGAAACCGTGACAACCTATGCGAACTGGCCTTCGGAAGTGGTTTCCATTTTGGAGGAAGAAAAGCAGACGTATCAATCGGATTCCTTTCCCGGCCTTCCCACTGTGCGTGTCTTTCAAGCCTTTCCGGAGTACGAGCCTCGTGTCTGGCCGCTAATGAAGGGCATTAGCTGGCGTATGAATCCCCTTTTGTGGCCTCATGTGCACTACTACATGGAAGGCGGACTCGAGTATGGCTGTCGTACTCTCCAAGATAAGAAACAAGTTCCCGTCGACAGCGCCCATTGTCATCGTCATTGCATCCACGGTGGTCGCTACTGTGTCCCTCAGAAGTTTGAAGTCGATACCAATGGACCGCAAGGAAAAGATGCCCTCAAGGAAATGTCGCGTCGTCTCTGTTTGGATTCCATCTTTCACGCCAAGGACAAGCGCTTTATCGCCTACCTAGAAGGATTTGATCACGAAAACTGCTTTCAAGCAGATCACATTCGCAACTGCTCTCTCAATGTCATGAACTCGGTCGGCGCCGAATGGTCCAAGATTGAAGCGTGTGTCGATGAATCCAACTGGAGTGCGGATATCGAAAACCCCATTCTGGAGCGCAACCTCAAACATGTTCACAAACCCCACAATTTTACCATTGCCGATATGCCCATGATTACCATTGATGCCAAACCCGTTCCAGGCAATGCCGATGGCATGTTGGATACCAACACTATCTTTCATACGTACTGCCAGGCATTTCCCGAACATTACGAGCGTCCGTTTGCTTGTGATGCCTGCGAGGGATGCCAAGATACCCGCACGTGTCTCTGGACACTAGAGTGCGATGGAGAACCCTTTGATATGGCTATCTTCTTGGACGATGGCAAGACGGATCCAGTGGATTTGCCACATGCCACGGTTACCCCCGAGATTCATACCAAGCCCGCCACGGATGCTCCCAAAAAGACACAACCTCCCAAACAAAAAGATGACGCCACCCCAGAAGATCATTCGTATGCCAATGCAGCCAACAGTGACACCACCGCCACCAACCAGGACGCCGTGCAACACGAGGCTGCCTCGTGGGTCGTCTTTGTCTGCTTGTTCTTTTTGGCCGCATTGACATGTCCGGTTGCATATTACATTTACCGCGAACGCCGCACCAAGGCACTCATGGAAGAAATCAAGGCGGGCAAGTACGCGAGCGAATTCCGCGACCAATCTGGTTACAAGGACAAGGAGTTGGGAGGACGACAAAAGGATGAAGAGGAAGCTTATGTGGACGTTGTGGTGGATTCTGCGACATCCAACGATATTACCGTGGAGGATTTGATGGATGACGAATCGGAATGGGCGGAAAACAAGCGTGTCAACCCCAGCGCCTTGCCAGAAATTTCGTAAAACAGAGCGGCATTGTAGAGGAGGACGAATGGCGGCATTTAAATGGGCCGCCCACGAAAAAGTAGGTAACAATACTATATAGATTCATACAGATCACTATCCTTTTGGCTTGCCACAACCGGAGTTGCTATCAGCTTGCTATCTGACTGGCATTGGCTGAGTGAACGAAACTGCACAATAATAATTCGATTCAACTGCTGCTACCACGAATGTTCCGTCTTATCTATGCAACGGAAGATGATTCTCTTTTCACGACGAAAGTTCACTTACATGATCGGATTCGTCGGTTGAGCAAGTGGACTCGTCTCCTGAGGGTGCGTCACTGGCGATTTTTGTGGCAGTAGCAAAGGAAAACCCAAGCTGGTCAACAGCAGTGCCAAATCTTCCATGGATACCTGCCAATCGGGAACTAGGGCCACCTTCAAACTCTGTGGCTTCTGACCCCGGGAGGGGCATGCCACCTTCAAACTCTGTTGCTTCTAAACCTGGGAGGTACATGCCATACATGGGGGAGACAAAGCCCCTTAGGGTATGCAGTTGAACTGCAGTGACACGAGTTCCATCTGACCAGACAACAATCTTGGTAATCCCATCATCTGGGTTGACCTCGAATGTATGTTCCTCCTTTTCCCATTGTCCTCGCACGCTGCAACCATGGAAGGCAACGTCTGTGTTGTCGCATGCACCAGGGTAGTCATCAAACTCGAGATAGATTCGCTTGATGGTGCATGGATACTTGGCGTCCTTTTGAAAGTTCGTCATCATAGATCCAATTTCAATGTGCACCTTCTTGACATTGGAGGGATTGCACCCAGAGTCAAACGGCCTACCACCACAACCACCCACTGCGGCGATCTTGTTTATGTTCCATTTCATGCCTTCTGGGAGGCAGGGGCTTGCCATGATGGCTGCGTGGGGACGTTCATTGACTTTGGCAAAGGAGAAGCCAAGCTTGTCAATGGCAGCACCATATCTGCCATGAATTCCCACCAATTGTGATCCTTGGGGGCCTTTGAATTCACTTTCCAAAGATTCGGGTCGTGGCAAGCCATACATGGGAGAAACAATCCCTTTTTCAGTGTAGAACTGAATTGCATTGACCAGGAAACCATCCGACCAGACCACAGTCTTTACGATGCTATCACCATCATTCACATTGAAGAAATATTTCTTGGTGCCAACGTTCAAGCCAGCTGGGTACCAATGATAGTAGATGGCATCTCCTCGGTTGCTGCAAGTTTTGTGAAATCTCAAAAAGATTCGCTTGACAGTTGATGTATAGTATTTTCCATTCTGCAACACATATGAGAAGATTGGTCCACACTCAACGTGCACTTGCCAGACACCAGTTGGGTTGCAGCCAGAGTCAAAGGGCCTTCCTCCATTGCCTCCAACGCCAGGAATCTTTGCGAGCGATAGTTTCGTGGTTGGCTCTTCCTTTTGGTCCATGGCCATGCTCTGTTTTGTTGTCACACTTTTCTGTTTTTGAAGGAGTGAAACTAATGTGCGGGTACGATGTACGCTACATGAGTAGTAGTTGTTGTGTCAAGATTGTGTCCTCACTCTTTGGTTTGACGAATGTTCCTTCAGGTTTTTATGCGAACGATGATAGGGAAGATTTAGATGTGGATCCTCTTGTCATTGGATTGATTCGATTGATCATTCGATTCATTGGAGGGGACTTTGGCGTGGAAAAAGGTTCCACGCGTGGCGATTAAACGTGGAATTTCTCATCCGAGCGTGGACCATAGCAAGAGTTTGCAGCTCTAGCTCTGGGAACCCACGTTGCTTGAGACAAAGGGGGTTGGGGTGGGTAGATTATCTGCTGCTGCTCTAGTAGGGTACAGAAGCCGGCGAGGGCCTGGCTGCTTTGCTTTCCTTGGCCATAAAGCCAATGGAGACCATCCCTTGCATGCCTGAGGTCCTTGGGGTATCCTTCTTTCTTTGAAGGGCACCGCTATGCATACCTCTACTGGAAAACGCTAACGGTATGACATACCGTAATACCGTACCGGTATGACAAGTCCTGGTCTTGGCTCTGGTCTGTAGAGCTTCTGTAGTTCCTGGTATGCATAGGTTCTGCCTAAAAAGATGTGTTCGTACTAACTGGCATTGTCATTAGTGACCGCCCTACCTGGTAGAACTACCGCTGCGAAATTTTCAAACTTCTCATGAAGTCCACGTGTGGACCAATCGTTTCCTTCCATCAAGAATCCACAACTCTGTTGCTTTCATTCTCTCAATGTATCTTACCAGCTCTAGCCTCACTTCAGAAGAAACGAGGACACAATGATTTCTTTCGGTCGAATTCCATTTGCATTGCTGGTGTTTTCATTATTCTTGCAGCGTATCAGAGGCACCACCACATGTTACATGGCCAAGCCTGACCCTGCAGGAGGCAAAGGCGGGCAGCTGTTCGACTCTGGTGTCAATTTTTCGGGCGTCAAGAGTTTTAACATCGTATATGGGCCGGGATACTCCGGGCCTCACTATCTTAAGGCTACCATCAGGCGAGTCTTCATCACGTTCCAAGACGACGGTGTCTTCGACGACGACATGAGGAACGATCTCTACCAAGGTCAGCGTTTGTCTGCCAGCTCAAGTAATGGGGAACTTTCTTTCAATGTGGGTCCCGATGACCCCATCGTGAAGGTCACGGTTTGGACTGATGGTACTTTGGCGAATGCTGTGCAGTTCCAAGTCAAATCCGGTTTTGTTTCCCAACTGTACGGAGCCCCTCCAGTTGAGGCCCAGCCACACGAGTTTCAGGGCGATCAGTTGGTGGGTGTGTATGGAGCGTTTGGAGACGCAATGGACAGTCTTGGCTTTTCGTTTATATCCCAGTGTACTCAAGGCAGCGCAAACGGAGGAACGGGCAGAGCAACATGCTCCGGTACGGAGAAATCCCCAGGTTGTTTGGTAGCAATCACGGCCACGTGAATTCTAGTGGAGCTCTCTCCAAATAGATTGAGCGACGAGCGTTCTCGTCCGAAGCTGATCGAGTAGAAAATCAAGGGCAAAGACTGGCTGCATACGACGCTAAACAACAATCCATAAAATACAGTGGACAACTGGTTGCACCATACCAATACGTAGCCAAGCTGGAGTCTAGCTAGCTACCAGCAGCTAATGCATGGAATCGAATGATTCAATCTATCTCCAATGACCCATCGTCGACGAGCAGGGCGTGGAAATTGTTTTCCACGTGTTTTAAACAAACCTCGTCGCAGACCCAGCATCAGGGTTTGTTCAAGGACTGTCTCTCCTTGTCGTCGGCAACTGCTTTCTCGTCGTAGAAAAGTTGGTGCCAAACTGACTTCTGAGTGCACCGCTGAATATCTGGATGGCACAATAAGCGGTCCCATTGGTGGAGGCAAATCCGAGACGATGGAAGGCATCCGCAGGCTGCACCTATCGAGAACTGTTACTATACAAAGATACTGCACAAGGTGCTCACAACCATAAATACGCCAACGAATGTGTACATGTACATATTTGATTTCCGTAATTTAGTTTGCTTGCCACCAACACCTCACGAGCCTTTCATCAATCACCGTATTCAACCTTTTAACCAACAAGCAACCTTGCCAAAGAGATTGATTGATCTACCACCTACGCCTGGATAGCTAGCCTTGTGGTCCTATGCTTACCATGGTAATTGAGTCCTCATCAGTAGTATCGCAGGTAGAAGCAACGTTTCCAATCTCACAAGGGACGTTGCTGGCTGTGGCAAAGGAGAATCCAAGTTCATGAATGCTACCGCCAAATTTGCCATGGATACCTACCAATCTGGAACCAGGGGTACCTTCAAAGGCTGTCACTTTTGAAGCAAACGATACAATCGCTTCTTGTGGTATGCCAAACCTGGGAGAGACAACTCCTGCTCCAGTATGGAACTGGACTGCATGGATGCACCATCCATCTGACCAGACGAGGATCTTGACAATTTCATCACCTGGGCCAACCTCAAATGTAAAAGTTATGTTATTTTCTGTATCCACCGGGCATCCCCAATAGATGGCATCCGTCTCAGGGGTAACATTCTGGTGAAACTGGAGGAAAATCCGTTTGACTGTCGATTTGTAAGACGCGGTTCCCCTCAAAAAGCACTTCCCACATTCAACTTGAACACTCTTCACACCAGAGGGATTGCAGCCAGAGTCAAATGACAAGGATGAAAAAAGACTACTAGGAACTGCTGGAAGCTTGGTCAAGGTCCATTTTGTTTTGGTTTCTACCTTTCGGTCCTGTACCATGGTCTGCTTGTCTATTTCGGTGAGCAGGTGTTTCTGATTGATTCGAGAGCTAGCTATGCATAGCCACCTTGATACAGTACTCTGTTTGTGTCCTTCTGCTTGATTGACACCGGTGTCTCCCAGGTTTTCATGGGAAGAAGGTTGAAACTTTCACATTGGGACATACACGTGTAGTCTTCCAGGTATGACTGTAGCTTGATCGATTATCGACGAAGAATACCTGTCCGGGGCTAAACAAAGTCTTTCCATGTGCACAGAGAGACCAGGAACAGAGATAACGTTTGATGGGCAGGATACGTACGTATACAGTCATGGTGTCGGTGAACAGGAAACTTCCGTGGAAACAATGAAAACAGATACGCTGAGGGCATCAGGCGGTTGTCCATGGCGGATGCGGTCACATGTGTTGTTCATCACCAAACAGAGGTTCTTCGCTGCTACCGTATTGAGTATTGAGGCCGCCCGGTACCAAAGTCCTGGATTGTTACTACTAGTATCTCTGCAAGTGGTGCCTCTCGTTTGTCATCTATCAGAGATGCCAACAAAACCTGTGGGAGCAGGCGGAGCAGAAAAATAATGCACGGAAAAGTTCGAAAAGTGAGATGGTATTCCTTCTGGATATCTCGCCTTGTGCGGAAACTTGCGTTAAAGCTTTGTTCGCGGAAGGCAAGCAGCTGTTCAAAGATACCATTGCAAATTCGAGAAGTTGGGAAGCGACGACATCAGCACCCATCAACCATCAATAGAGAAAGAAAAAAAAAACAGATCAACCTCTTGAGCTTTGCATCCCACTTTGAGCTTTCATAATCTTGCCGTCTTTTCGATCATTGCAACACCGCTCTCCACTAACTACTAGGCCATGATGCCTCGATCTCTTCTTGTGACTGCTCTGATGCTGACATCGTCGGCGCATGCCTTTGTCATGTTCCCATTATTTGCAGTGCGAACGCCTACTACTACCAGCGTTTCTTCATCCAGTGATAGTAGTAATAACGAGAAGAATAACCAGTCGTATCCTCCCGAATTCCACAGAGCGGTGGAATGTGCCAAGAATCAAGGCATGTGCAACGTGGACGAATTGTTGACATTGGCACAAGAATTGGAGGATTACGACGACAGTTGTTTGTGGGAGATTCCCATGAATGGAGACTCGTCGAAAGATGACGATGAAGACTGCGAAACGGAATTTTTGGATCGGCTCGATATTGCCGATTTGTTGCGGGCCGAACGAGAAATGATGCAACGCCGTGAAAATGCCCTCGAATTTTCCAATCTATTTCGTGAAAAAATTGAACAAGATGAACTCAGCAAAGAGCAGCATGATGAAGATGAAGAGTGTCCACCCAAGGAAGTCATTGACACATACTCCAAGTATTACGAAACAGTATATTCACAAACGGGATGTGGGCCATAGAGAAAAATATGAATTGATGATTTGTTTGAGCAAGAAAGTTCACAATCCACAATCCACCGAACAAAACTATGCAATACAAAAACAAGAGTTGCCCCTTCTTTTATGCCAGACCTTTCTGATTCCATTCCAAGAAAGACTCCCAAGACCCATGACATGCCCATTCGTTTGGAGTTGCCTTATCAGTTTCAATACGTTCTAGATCATTCCTTATTGATAAAATTACTTACGTACTTTCATCAAAGCGAAAGATAGTGTCTCTGGCGGGCTTTTCGCAGTGGGGCTTGCCCGTTTCAGTGATGCGATTCGATTCGATTCTGGTGCTCGAACCTCTAGCTAGAGATGCCGTTAGATAGTTGTACCTCGTGCTCTGCTTTGGGCGGGATGAAACGGGGGCCATTTGGGTAGAGACCTCGTGTGATTGACGATGCCGATAGCATAGGGCCCTTGCTTTGTTGGCCAACTGCAGGTCAAAAGTTGATGGGATACATCTACCCTCACAGACAATCTCTCTTCTCGCTTCTTTCGGTCTTTGTTACTTCAGTACAACTTGCAAAACTGTATTTTCCAGAACTAGCTAGCTAGCTAGCTAACCACAACAAGTAAGTGCTGTGCCATCCAGTTTCAATGGCTGCAGACCTTTTCGACACTTGTTGTTGGAGCCACGCCCACTTCTGTTTTTATTAATAAGAAGGGCAACCTACCCTGCAGCAACCCATAAGCTTTCCCCCAGCAGTATCACCAACACAAGAGTACAGCGTACACTCGTATTGTGAAAGCAAGCACAGAGGTTGACCAATGCCTCAGGAGATGGGGGGGATATGATGCTGGAGTGAGTGCCGCCCACCTACTAGTAGGATTCTTGGAACATCCATCGTTGGTCTCGAGTCGTATGCATACATGTCCCGGTACATCGCGCCAATTGGAGTTGCGGGGAATGGGCTTTCACAGCATTTCCTTTGGGTCAAACTGATTGTTTGGGTTAATCTTCCACTTTGAGTCATGCTCCCAGATTGTGTCATTCTTCTAGCTAGATTGCGTCATTCTTCTATTTTCAGTCATTCTTCCAAAAGAAAACATTTTAAGAACCTGGCAAACCTGTAAAACACGTATTCCCGCAACTTCATTCGTGGAAGCTTGCAGGATCTTTTTTTATCGATAAGATCTGCGACGACAGTCAAAGTCTGGTACCACCGGTAGACCACAATAACGCAAATAAATGGAGATGGAAAAAGTAGTTGTGGAAGACACGGCAATGCCCATGTCAAACCGCCACCACCACACTGCTGATGACGATAACGACGCCATCATGAACGTGACGGAGACGACTCCAATTTTGTCGACTGCAACAACAAGCACTGTTACGTTTACACCGCTGTTTCGATTGACCGCATTGGCATGGTGTTCCACGATTTCCTTTGCGCTGTTTGCGTTGTTTCAGTACGTATTGCCGGCTATAACAAGCACCATAAGAAACGACGGCAACTATCAACAGCGCTGGGAACAGACCGACCCTGGATTGTACCGTAGTGGTAAAACTAGTACTGCCAACGGGTTGATGGTGGTCCACATGATGGGTGGCATCTTCCTCATGTTGGCAGGGCCGATCCAGCTCATCCCGTGGATGCGAAAGAACAAGCGCTTGCAGTATCATCGTTGGATCGGACGGGTCTATCTGCTGGCCGCCTTGACGGCGAGTTGCGGCGCCACAACGTTTGTCTTGTTGTTTCGAACATCGCGATTATGGATCCATGAAGATATTCAAAATGTCTTGTTTGGACTGGCCGTCATTGCTTGCAGCCTGCAATCGTACCGATACATTGCCATACCATCGCAGAAAGATATACAACTACACAAGTTCTGGAGCTGGAGCCTGGTTGGATTTATCTTCACCGGGGCACCCTTGTATCGCATTTGTTCCTGGCCCATTTATATCTTGGCCACGAACGTGTTACCACCCGTGGGAAACATCACTCCTCATCCCATCATCAGCGCTTCCTTCTACTGCATCTTTCTGCCGCTCATCCTCTCTATGATATTATACAAGTATCGTCACAACCATCATCAATCATGGAAACCTGACACGGGAGTCTTGAATGGAGCGCTGGCAATGCTGCTGGTGTTGTGGTTGCCCCTGTTGATGTTCACGTGGATACCCGCCATATTCGACCGACCCACGACCAATGCAACCACGGAAATGAAAATCGATGCATAATGATCCAATTACCATGTGCCGTACCGGTGCAGTAGCTAGCTACCGTTGGGCCCTTTGTTGGCCAACTGCAGTTCAAAATTTGATGGGGGAAATAATGAGCTTTCACGCAGGCAATGTCTCTTCTTGCTTCTTTCTGGCTTGTCTATGTGCCATAGGACGGTACGACTTGTGAAACTTATGTTGCAGAACTAGTAGCTAGCTATCCAGCCGACAAGAGTGCATGCTATCCAGTTTCAGTGGCTGCAGACCTTTTGGACATCTTTTGCCCCCCCCCCCCCCCTCGCCACAAGAGCATTCCTTGTGCAACCAAGCAACGAGGTTACGCTTGGGTCGGGTGATGATCCTGGCACGTGTTCTTGCCCGGAACGGAAAATGATGACCCGACGAACGTTGCTTGTAGCCACTCCAACGACATGATGACATGAAGAAGCCTACTATCGTAGACTTCCATTATGTATGGTTGCACACAGCAAACCAATGATTATGAATTAACAGTGGGGTACAAAAATTGGGCCCTCCAAGCACTAAATGGCAATGCTCGAATCCCGTGCGAGTGTGAGTGTGTACGTATGTTGTGTTTGGTTGCCTTTAACGTCTTCTGCAAATACAGACGACGAGGTTTCTTCGAACAACCATCGTTGTGCTCGAAAAAGCAAACAAACAGGCAGGCTCGTCCTGGGACCCTGAATTCAATACCATGATTCGATTCCATTCTATCCCGCCACATGATGGATGACCCAATATATTGTCGTGTGTACTCTTAGTCAACAGTTTCATTTTATCCGACACAATGCCATCATGGAGAATTCGATACTATCCGGTTCCACTTGCATGTATCGTTTCCGAATGACCTGTGCCACGGCTCGCAAAAACGTATGCTTTTTGGGATCATCCCCGACGGTGGAATCCCGTTCTTCCCGTGCCAATAGTTTGGTCACCGATCCATGATCGACCGGCAATACTTTGGTGCCATCCAATTCGACCACATGTGTACTATTTGAGGAAGTAGAAATAGGAGAAAAGGCGACAAAATGATGATCAAGATCGGGACCGTAGCGATCGGGAACGGCCGTTTGAGCCGCTCGATGATTGGCGGATTGATCGGACGAATTGCGGAGAGATTCGGTGGCCAACAATGCTTTGCCGCGATCCAGTGCCGACGCATTCTCGTGACCTTGTCGGAATTTCTGCAGTGGACTGGTATGACTGTTACCACTGTAGACGGATGCGCCATTGATCAGCGCGTGGACACTGGCAATGGTGCCGCACTGAATCATTATTGTGATGAGAGAAAGGACAATGTGGGTGAGAAAATGGAGTTACCGCTTCGTTTCTTTTGCGATGCGTTCTTTTTGGAATCAAAACGTTCTTCGTGTAAATCATTCTGTACTACTAACGCACCGCATTCCCAAATTCGGCAATCTGTTGGACATGATAGGCTTTCTGTGTGGCCGGTGTGGGTGGATTGTGTAGCAATTTTTGCTTTTCCTGCTTGCGAACTTTATAAATATTCTCGGTACAGGGAAAGAGCAAAATGACACCGGCACACGGCTCGGGCACCATGCCCAACAGCTCCGGATCCAATCCCAGAATATCCACCCAACCCCAATTCTTGGGCAGCCCGCCACTCTTGTGCGCAAAGTCCGTAAAGATTTCCTAGTAGTTGCATTACAGTAATAATAATAATCAATAGAAGATAGACAACCAAATAGAAGACAATAGAAGACACAAAAGTTGAGCGGATGATCAGGAGACGAGACACGGTCGACCAACTCGAGAGATCCATCTCTCTTCATCGTCACGCCATGGCCAGACTCGACCCGACGCTACATCAATCAGCACGTACTCGATTCCACATCAAAATCAGCACGTACCGGATTGGATTCCAGCGGCAGCCATGGCGAATCTGGATCCTCTTCTTCTTCTTCCTGTTCTCGAAGGCCCGCATTGATCACTGCCAAAGGATCGTCTCCATCGTCTACTTCAGGTTCGCGACCTCTGCTTTTCTTGCTTCGTCGGGACATGGTGCAGTATCAGGTACTACTATACTAGAGTACTACTAGAGCAGCAAAGGAAAGAGGACAAGAAGAACAAGTCAATGAAGAATCGATGTGTTGGCATCGCCATCGTGGGCGATCAAAATCCAAAAAGATACGGTCATAATGTGAAATGTTCGGATTTAGCACTCTATACTACTAATAAGTCTTTTGCACCGCTTCAGGATGAGGACCATGGCCACACACGTCCAATGGCAAGTGGCAAGCACCACCAGCACGCTACCTGGTACCGTCCTATAGGGAGAAGCCCCCCACAAAGTTGACCTTTTGCTCTGTTTCCCACAGTGTCCGCTCCCCTATCCTAGCATTATTGAACCCAGCAAAGTGCATCAAGGGCTGGTACCGTACGGTACCCGACACCTGTAAAGTACTAGCCAGAGCTACCCCCGCCTGCACCAGAGCTACGTATAGTAACCCCTTTCACAGGTCCACTGCAAGCCACGACGGAAGCTAGCCAGCTACTACGAAGAAGCTTGTAAATCATGTAGAGTGAAGACTAAGAATGGAGGCTCAGATGAGAGCCCAGGATAGGAAGGATCCATGAATAGTTGGGATTCAATCATACTGGATCCTAAAAACGTACGTATGATGCTATTGTCTCTTCCATCGCTTACTCAGGTGGAACTTGCGTGGTTGCATCCGGTAGGGCGTGATGTACCTTCCTTGTTCCCAAGACACCTTCTTCTCCGATTTGCTGCCTGAATTACGTTCTGTGATGCTTGGAACAGGTCAATTTTCTCTGTGAACAACTGGCAGTGCAACATGTGATTTGGCCAGTCAGCAACCTGACATGACTTGGAGCAGTACTCAACAGCCAGACAGTCTTCGCACCACTTGGTGTCTGTAACTTCCTGGTGACAGTAGTTGCATTCGCGGATTTCTGGCTCCTCCATCACCTTCTTCTTGAGTTCGGACAAACAATTGCATGGAATCTTCTTGTCCAAGTAGGCAACCAAATCGCGCTTGCTTCCACAATGCTTGACAAGACACCATCCTAAACGATTCATCTTCTTTTGTACCTGATGAAGCTCAGTTTCAGAAAAACTTCCGCCCCCATGAACAGCAAACAAAGGATGGCGTTTCTCGACCAATATGGCTGCTTGCACAAGTCTCCGTCCCCGTTCTCTTGACCAACTCTCATCAACTACGTTGGCCTCATCTAAGAACCCAAAGGCTGCAAACGCGTAAATAAGCTGGGCTAAGTTTGGCTGCTCCAACACAATTTGGTGTTCTCTATAAACCATTGACATCTTTGCGTTCAAGTGGTCGTGAGTGTCGCAAAGACAGTCTAAAATGGCTCCGAAAGCTTCATCGCCCTCAAAAGTTGCTGATAATTTATGGAAACAATGAACATGCTTCGTCTCATCCATGGTCCGGGTACGAAGGACGGGATCAGCGGCCTCAGGAGGCGAGGGTGTCTTTTCCACAGGTATTGGCACATCAGTCTGGCTGTTTTCGTCCCTGTTCTTTGCAGCCAAAGCTTTTTTGTCCCTCTTTCGTCCTCCCTTCTTCTTGCTGCTGCGGCGGTTCTTCATCTTCAAATAGATTCAATGGCACAACCCAAATGCCAAGAGTTGAGTCCAGGTTGATGGACGTTCTGCAGGATGCTCTGTCGACACGTTCTTTTTTGTCAGTCATCTCCGTTCGCTCTTTCAGATCCTCGAAAGCTACAGGGGAAAAACGGCGTCGAATCATGGAAAGTAGATTGAGACTGGTTCGTTAAATCTTGTCAACTTGAAGTTGCCTTTTCAATGATCGCGAGATCGAGGGGTTGCGTCCAATAAAGCTGAATTCTCACAATTTTTATGTTCGACCAAGGAGGGATGATGCTCCACCGACATTTGTTCCTGTTGGGATTCCTCTCGCTCTTGCTGGTATCGCAATCGCCTAGTGCTGTCGATGGAGCGTTGGTTCCAATTGTAGTAGTGGCTCCAGCCATTTTGGTCGCTGCCACGTCGGCCTATTGCTTTTTGGTGGATGTCTATGCCTCCCGCGTGTTGAAGGCCATGGCCAAAATTGACTTTTCCAAGAACCTGCTAGCCGAGGATACGCTCGCCACAAGTCGGCAACATGCGGACACGTTAACAGGAGCATTGGCTGCCGGTGTGGTTCCGACCGTCGACGAGTTGCGGAGAACCATTTCCAAAGCGTCTCATTTGGTGGAACGACCGCGTCATCGACGACAATGGAATGCCTGGGCGATTCATGTCCTGCTTTCGGGGTATGTGGATTATGATCCGGCCAATACGATACAAGATCGTCTGGTCAACCACACGTTCCAATTTGCCTATCGGAGTTATGTCAATACCGAAGAAAAGGGAGCCCTTTCTCGAGCGTTAAAGTCCCCGTGGTACTACTTGACCCGGCCCTTCAAAGCTCGAGGACGAGGCAAAATTGTCTTTTACGACGACGGCAGTGTCACCAATACCGAGTACTTTTGGGGCAAACGATTCGAAGCCATTCAAGTGACATGGTACGGAGAACTGTTGATCGATGACAATCCCCTCTTTCCAGCCACTGTGAAATGGACGAGAACCGAGTTTGTCACGGGACGAAAAACAGAAAACCAAACGGTCATTTCCAATCCACCGGCGGCCGAAAAACTACGTCAAGAACCATGGGATGTTGTGCAAGAAGAGGATGGCATGATCTTGTTCCGGCGAGGGACTCTTGGAGTCCTGGCATATGACCGTATGCAATAGGTCCTCGTCAGTGCGGAAACCGAGCTATCCGCATGTCACAATTCAAACTACTTGCATAATTATACTCTTTTTTGATTGAATCAACCGAGAGATACAAATAGAGGGTAAATTAATTCATCCCTCAGTTGGTAAAGGCGTGTCTGGATGGACGAGTACCTTTAGAAGCACCCGAGATCGTATACATTCATTCCTACTACACAACAACGACTATTTGTATAATACAGTAGATTCAAAACCATAGCTACGCAAAAGTTAGCAAATCACAGCCAGCAAGCCATACGGACGAGGAATGTGCAGATTGTCGTTCATCTCAATTTCGATTGAAGATTCCAATTCTTTTCGAATGACATCATGTCATAGCTAGCACATTCATCCTTCCATCCTTCAACTAAATAGTAGGTGTCAGTTAGTTACCGCCCCCTCTTCTTTTTCCTCTCATCGTAATCGGCCGGTTTGGGCATGGGATTCTGTTCCAACTGGACGTTCCAATTGTTGCCACCGGTGCCACCCGTCATGGTATCGACATCGAATTGACGCAATTGACCCAGACCTTTGTATGCCAACGCCACCTTGACTTGGGCTTCTTGCTCCGCCATGCCGGCATTCTCACGCCATTCTTCCCGGATCGCTTGATAGATGCGTTTACGGTTCGAGGACGGAAATGTCTCGGCCGAACGCAACAGTTGCTTGTACACTTGAAGCAGTGCCTTGCGGCTGGCATTCATACTCATGGTGTGTTTGGTGTGGTCTTTGGAACAGATCGTTGAGAGCTACGTAGTTGTTGGGAACGACGATCGTGGGTTGTTGTCGGTTGTTACCAACATGCAGGCAGAGGTACAGTACGGTAGGGTTAGGTGTAACAAACGCAAAGATACGGAGGAAGCAATCAAATCCTTGGGGATGCATGACAACGGAAACCAGAGCAAGAATCAACCAGCATCATGTATGTGTGCTACGGCATACGGCATGGGAACACGAGTCTTAGAGAAATCTTGGATCCGTGGGACGACAAACCACTGCTGTCCATGATGCTGTTTCGGAACGAGAGAATCTACCGTACCAACTCAGCCGCTAGCTACAATCGAAAACGACACAGCTAGTCTAGCCAACATTGGCGCGAATGGCAAAAAGACGTGCCATGGGAGGCCCGAAGATCCACTCGAGCCAAGTCGCCATGGCACAACCGTGCGGGTCGAAACTAATTGTCACGACAAGCAATGCTTTCGCTTAGTTTATTCGCTTAGTAGTTCTGAAATGGTATATATAGAGAAACTCTTTTACATGCAAATCCAAACATTCAATAAAACACGCCTTGGTGGTGAGAAGAAGGAAAAAGGAAAACTTCTGACCACTAAGGGCTATCCAGGGTAGTTCCTCAGCCATGCGTGTGCTGCAATCAATGCAAAATCCTAACGGTTGGTAAATTGTTGAAATTGTTGACGTCCTGTCAATGACGCGTGACTTGGTCCTGATCCGTCCACGCGAAGCCGCGCTGCCAGTCGCTTACACTTCGCAAGAAATGTATCCACTCGCGGAGTGGGTACTTGGCATGCTCAACTCGTCCTTTTTCTTCTCTGCTGCAAAGGCACTGGTGGTGTTGTGAGTTGTCTTCAAGGCAGCCGCACGACTGGGTGTTGGCTTGACATTGATAGGTACTGCGCCTTTTTCTCCGGCCTTGCTTCCACGGAAGACAAAGGTGGAACGACGACGCTGATGCTCAAGACCAGAATCGTTGCCATCACGAATGCGGATGCACTCCTTGCGAAGGATTCCTTCAACTTGTTTCATGGTGAACCGAACTTTCTGATCGTTGGCCCAACCACGCTTAAGGAGAAGCTTGAGGTTGGCAGACCAGGTTTCATTGATAAAGGGTCGCTTTTCCATCGAACTCCACACACGTTCCTTGAGCTTCTTGATCGTGTAAACTTCAAAGGGGGTGACGAGAGCAAGCATCTGCCACAAGAGGATGCAGAAGGAGTAGGTATCACAGGTGCCGTTGTATGGTTTGCCCAAAGCCACCTCTAAGGGAATGGAAGCAAGATCAGCAAGAAAGAGAGGCTATCGTGAGAAACTCCACTTCGATACTAGCTAGTTGCTGCGCTGCTGATGCCTGTATTGGAACTCACCAGGTGCCATGTAGCGTGGAGAACCAGTATCAGCTGTCAAGTTGTACAGACCATCGGCAGTCTTGAGGTCATCTCTCAATTCCTTGGCCAAACCAAAATCGAACAGCTTGATGTCATCACGGACATCAAACCCGATGTTCTCAGGCTTAATGTCTGTAGGAATCAAAGAGAAGAGAAGAGACATGAGTGCTTTTCATGCCATCGTAAAACAACATCGAGTCCCAATGATCGGACTTACCGCGGTACAAGATGCCACGCTCATGCAAGTAGCTGATAGCAGCAGCCAAATCAAAGGCATAGACAATGCGCTCTTCCAACAGCTCATTCCTATTTTTGCCCTTGCGATCCAAGAGATTCTTTCCAAAGAAGGAATTTTGACGCTTCGACTTGGGCTCCCAGACTTTTTGGATACGACGCTCAAGGGTGTCATAGAGACGGTCCATGATGATAAAATAACGCTCATCGTATGGTTCGCACTGGGCCATGGCCTGGTAGAAACAGGATAACAGAACAAGTTTAGCAAGTCAGGCTAAGGATCGTCACTTCAACCTTGTCGAACTACCATTGATTTCAAAGACCACAACTTACTCTGATTTTGACAATATTGGGATGCTGAATGTCACTCATGAACCTGGTTTCGAGCGCCATATCCATCATGCCTTGGTAGAACATGCCAGCATTCCGAACAACCTCTGGGCTCAATTGCTTGACAGCATAGCGCGCATCACTGTTGTTGCGGAGACAGTGCTGAGCAATGAACATGCGGGCATCTTGTTGGTTTGAGCCCGCCTGGCCATAGTCAGTATCTGTCAGGTCATCGGAAAATCCTTTCTTTTGATTCATGGACACTTTCTTGCCACCAAGAGTGAAGGAACGGACCTCAAAGACACTGCCAAAACCTCCTTTACCCAACAACTTGCCCAATTGCATCTCTTCCTTGGTGAACTTGGGATACTCTCCAACACGATTCACAATGGCTGACTGGGCAAACACTGCCTGGACGGTCATCTTGGCTTGAGCCTTGCCCTTGGCATCCACAGAGGGACGGGGATTGTTGCTGCTGCGAGGTGCCGTCATGGTGATTCTTTGAAAAAAGGATACAAGTAACGCAAAAATGAAAGGTTGGAAGTCAAAAGTCAAAGCACTCTTCTGCAAAAATTGTGAGAAACTGGAGCGATCAAAGATCAAAGGACAGCAACCACGTACCGGTGGTACGACCGGTAGAGCTACCGGTTGTATCTTCCGGAGTTTCGAGCCTTGCGAACACAGGAGGTTGAAGTCCCGGTTCCTCATAAATCCACCGTAACCTACCGGTAGTACAGTAGTGTCATGTGGACAATTATTTAGGAATAGCGACCCATTGAAAGGCCTAGAGGATATATTCAATCAATTTTTTATAAGCCTTCGTTTCACCACTGAGACTTCTTTTTGCTCATGATTGTGATTGATAACAAACCAGGATTTAATGATAGAATAATAGCCTACTGAACCTATCCGAGGGGCTATTTTCCACTGAGAATTATATAGGTCAATGATTATCGACAAAGTAAAAGCTTAGGCCTCGAACAAGTAAGTTGTCTCTAATGCCCCTTGAATCCCTTCTATTATACTACTCTAGACTACTGTACTCGGTAGTATCATAGATTTATTTGGACGTCAGAGGAGCACAGTTTTCGTATCTCACACGACTCACGCGATTACAGGTCGGCCTTTCTGCTTACGAGATGGTGGATCTACTAGTACATAAGGCCTCTTCTTGTTGTATGAGGTATCTAAGTCGCCCCACGCCCCACACTACATTGTACTGTACTTGAGATTTAACACGATCGATAAATCCTACATGCGTGTAACCCGTTTACGACTGAGAGCCAAAACGCCCAAAACCCAAAACCCGAAGTTTGGTTTTGGGACTTCGCCAGCTTGCGAGCTTGCCAGTTTGGGGCTCGGGAGTATGCAGCTCGTGTCATCGGACTGGACGCTGTCGGAGCTGCTGACGTCTACCAGGACGATCCGGCAATTTGGATTTATGAGGTCAGTTTCACGACTGAATAGAACTGTCGTCAAACGTGCGACAGCACCATTTAGGCAACAGTTTTGGCGACTGTTGAAAAATAGGCAACCATTTAGGCAACAGCTAGGATTTAGGCAACCGTTACTAGGATTTAACGAGTAGTTTCTCGAAGAATTAGGCAACAGTTTAGGCAATTGTCTAAAAATAGGCGACGATTTAGGCGATTGCCTAGATTTAAGCTACTGTAATTCTAAGTGCAACCATTCAGTCGTGATTCATAATTAGCTTCGGCACTAATTGCCGGATCGTCCAGTACTTCGGACTAAATTGGATTCAAGAGAGACAATAAATAGGTATTACTGTTGCTGGCCTCAAGAGGAGGTTTTCTTCGACCTCCTTCGACCTGATGTGTGCGTCGTTCAGTTCTCTGAGGGCATTCTTTACAACAAGGGTTGCTTTTAAAAAAGGAAATAGCACAGCTGAAGGTAGAGGAACCGTTGGAGCTTCTGGGTGTAATGGGTCAAAATCGCGAGCAGGAACCTACCAGCCCTGCCATGTTTTTGTGCCAGAATCGAATCTTCAACGAAGCAAAAAGTGGTGCAAAGAAGGAGTGGATGCTAAGTTTGGGGGAAGAAAGGTTTCTCCATGTCTGCGTGACTAGTACATGATCTGATGACGGGGTAGGTAGCTACGGTACCAGCCGGCCAGCTTACACGGTTGAGGCCCATCCACTAATCCATGGCGACAATCGGTAGGGTTGTCCAAGAGTTCTTGACTTGACACCAAGACCAACGTTTGCTACATGCATGATATCGGCGCCCATGCTGGTCAATGGCTCAATTGCTCAATTGCCTACGCAAGAGCTATCGAGCTTTCCCGTACAGGCCTTCCAGGTGGTTATTCATGATCAAGAGTTGCACAACTCACTCTGTTTGGGGTTGCAAAACCGACTTCGCTTTCCGCATGTTGTGAAGCTGTATGTATCTTGGGGACTAAAACTAGCTGCACTCGCTCTCGTCATCCACGCACGCCCCTTTGAAGGTGTGCCAATGTGCCAATTGGCTGAAGGCCGGAGTGAAGTCATCTGCTAAGTTGCATTGTTTGCCAGAATTATGCTTTGTTGGTTGGTCGTGCTGCACAGCCTGTCCATGACTGCATTGGTTAGCCAACTCAAAACAATCGACATGGGTGTCTCATGTTCGTTTGGACCGGGTTGTTCGATTTCTTCCTTTATCAGCCCGGAGGCCCAACTGATCATGCACTGTTCCTTTGGCCCTCAAATTTTAAAGCATCCTTGCGGTTGTCAGATAAGTCACGGTGTGCATGCAGTTGAGGCCTATGCATCTTGTGAAGCTTGAATCTCATGATAACAACATCCTCTGCAAATTGCAGTCATTGATAGTGGAGTGGTTTCTTGGTTGCTCCTCCACCGTAGAATGTAGCCCGTGCTGGATCTCGTGCCCGCCCATTCTGCACCAATCCCATCCATCATAGCGATGAAGGCAACATAACCTCTAAGGACGAAGAGTGTTAAGTATAGGTATTCATTCAACGCAAAGGCGGGAAGAGATTAATAAGTGTATTGTTCTGCTCTGGATGCCCGGACTCGTAAAAAGCGTGCTCCACACAAAATTCACCATGGCTAGTTGCAGCCACATAGGTGCTTATGCCTGAAGCAAACAGACCCCACCCTGCAGATTTCCATATAATTGCATAAATATTCTCTGTGGACAAGATATGGCCGAGGTTTTGCATCATGCAAAGGTAGAAAAGGAATACTGGTAGGATGAAGGAGAATACTGGCAGTGTTAACTTAGGAATCACAAAGTCCCCGGAGGGAGTGGGTTTGGATTCAGAGGCTTCTGGGAGTAGAACTGAGGAATCATCGAGCTATTGGCAAAATTGGAGAATTGTCTAACTCTGCGGTTTGTTGTTGTAAAGATGTCAGCTTTTCGCTTTCCGTTGTGCCGTGTCCTGGTGTCAATCTCTTCTTTATGCATAATTTTTGACTTGAACTGCTGAGCATAGCTGCGACGGCCACGGGATTCCCTGAAATAGCGAGCTACCATAGTCCCTAGGGGAGTGCACCTAGTTGAGAGGTCTCCATAGAAGATTAGCACAACCCCAGACATGAACACGGCCAACATGAGTTTTCAACAACTAGATGTACAGTTTCCATTCTGTTGAGTTACGCACGAACAGGAGGGCATCCCAACAGTCCTCTGGTTGGTAGCCGGGCACAAACGTTTTTCTAGGGCAAAATTCAGTAGCATTGATACTGATGATGTGCGTGGTGGTTGGTTTGTAATCGACCTCGAGTTTCGAGACCAGCCAACGGTTGTGCATACTACTGGTACATGCATGAGTAACGACCACGGCAAGACCTCTATTCAGCCAACAGTTTTCGATAGGAAAGCTACCATGGTAACTACTAGGTGCTTCACGCTACGAAGAGAGCAACCAGAAGATCGCTTTTGGGAATGGCAGCGGTGCTGCCTTTCAAAGATCGGCTGACCCGCACGCTGATGAGCTTTTGTACCGTATGTACGGGTACTGGTATTAGTAGTAAAGATCCTCTCACTGACCTGTTGTGGGACCCAAGCAGGACTTGAACCACGTTTCACCATGAGACGTGCACAACATAAAGGTTCAGTCCCAGTACCAGACCAATTCATGGCGTCGTTTTGGCCCTTGCAAGTCTAGACTTTGTGTGCCTCAACCAAGAGACGAGTAGCATGTCAGCTCCTTTGGTAGAGCACAAGTCTCATTGACTGAAGCGTGTTGGATCGAGCCTCGTTCATGCTGATCTGACCGCAGGCATCCCCTCTTGGTATGGTAGCTCAAACGGTTGAGCATCAGGTGCAGATTCACTTTCTGTCCGTACTTCTGGCTACAGAGAGCATCATATCCCAGATCCTGAAGTGTGTCAGTTCGAACCCGACTTAAGTCCAACACGGGCCTTGGTAGCTCAATGGTTGAGCATACCTCCCACCGGATACGGTACCGCGGTACCGGTATGCCAGCCCAGGAGCTAAAGTCACGAGTTCAAGTCTTGTCCATACCGTACTTCTGAAGCGTGCTGACGCTTCGAACCCGGCTCAAGTCCGCAGGCCCGCTGTCTTCGTGGTCCAGTCGCCTAGTTTGGTAGCTCAATGGTGGAGTTTCAGACTCTAAAGCATTGCAAGATGTTGGTTCTATTCCGGCCAAATGCACTTGTTTTCTCCGTTTTTGGCCCAGTGTTTGTTTTGTAAATCAGAATCAGAAGGCACAATTCGCGGAGATGTGTGTTTGGTATTCAAAAGGCACAATTCGTGGAGAGATGCGTTTGGTATTCACTGCTGCTGGACCCGAAAGCAGCTTCTTGTGGTGCCGGTATGCTGTCATGCCTTTTGTTGAATGGGCCATGCTACCAGCTTGCCTGCCAATTCGGAGCAAAGACTGGAATACTCAATCCAGGCAGATGATTACCAGCCACGACCATAATTAAGAACGGGCTGCAGAGGTGCGTGTTGCTTCAGCGATTGGATACCGGCATTCTTGTGCTAGGTTAGCTAGTGCAAGTGGCAGCCTGAAGCTGCGGAACTTCAAGCTGACACCTATTTTCCCCACGCTTTGTACTCGCTCGATGGGTCCAAACTACATGCAGCAGTTTATCCGCGTGTCCCAGAACTAGTAGACGACACAGGCAAGAAGTTCTGCCGAGGCAGGCGTGTGTTGCTATCGATACTAGTATCGATAGTACCGGTTCGGCTGCGTCTGCCTCGACTTCTGCGGGCTCCCCACTACTAGCTAGTACGAGCTAAGTTGACCTACTGTAGCCAAGTCACCACTGTGGATCATCGGTTCTTCCTCCGAGTAAGAGGCAGCTTTTTTGTTCAACTTGAGGTTGCAGTGCAGTGGTGGGTCCTTCCTGCCTGGCTACTAGGCTGGGTATTGGTACCGATAGAGCCACTGCTGCACCCTGGCCCCTGGCTTGGTGGTACTATCATTGCGATTGATCATAGAACGGAAGCCATCAAGTAAGTTATCAACGGAAAAATAGCTATCATTTTCCAAGCAAGCAAGCTTCCAAGACCTACGAGTGTTGCTAGCTACCGGTATGCATAGTAGGCAGGCGAAAGTGCTTGCCAACGAAAACTACAGTAGTTAGCTTGGCCAGCTGCTTGGCCCCAGGCACCAGTTACTGTAACGTTGCATCCTCAACGAGAAGTGAACAATCGATTGGCTTCTTCACCCAGTAAGATTGGCAAACGGCACCTTGGAGTTTATCGTTCATTGTAGCTTTTATTGCACTTTCGGATGGTTGCTTCTGAGTTCTGCTTGTCGACTTGTGAATATTTATTTGCTGTTAGATGTGAGCCAATACCGCCTTCTCAGTTCTAGCAACGCTATCATCCACCATCCAATACCCACAATGCTTTACCGCATTCTACATGTACATGTACTTGCCAGGTGGCTTCACTACATGTAGCTAGCTAGTAGATAGACAGCAGCCAGCCAATTGCGGGTTTGAGGGTCCGATGTATTGCCGTTGTGATCCCCTTGCTTCCGAAATCCACTTAGCTCCTCTCGTGGCGTCTCAGCGAAGTCTGAGCGATCTAATTCGGGAGCGGAAATGCGGCGTCGCTCACACATCAAGGAACAGAACAACAGAACTCTCATTGTTGGCTTATTGTTGGACAAAGGAAAACAGCTAGTCTACTCAGTACTACTCTAGTACTGAGTAGCAGCTACTCTGGAGTACTCGAGTACGGCACACTGTACGGTCTGTAGATACCGGTAGCCGTACCGGTAGATTCCGGTACTAGCTAGCTAGCTACAAAACAGCTGTGGTGTCAGTGTTGTCTGATCTATGTAGCTAGAGCTGATCTAGTGAAGATCCAGTGAAGCAAGGAAATCTCTTTTCCTGTTGAGTCAGGGATTCCCTTGAAGTCATAGTTTTTTATCTACTGACTATTCACAGTAAGGGGATGAAAGAGCTATGAAAGTGTCTGAGTTCTGAGTCTTTACTGGAGTACTGGCTTCTTGCCTGTTTACAGAATCTGAAGCCGATATCTAAAGCGAATCCTAATTAGCTATCCTTTCGAGTCGGAAGTTCATCGATGACTTCAGGTCCCATGACCTTCCGCATTCCGCACGCTGTACCACCACTGGTTGGCTTCCGCTTCGGGCAACTCACTGTATCACCTGAATGGGTTCTTGCGCAAGTAAGTCTTGGACTGTCTCATAATCTCAAACCACAAAAATAGAAACACACCCACAACACACGATGATCAGCATTAGCAGTATCAACCAAAGTCTCTCGCCCTCGAGGAGCTCCATGCAGCTTTCTCCCCGGCCCAGCAGCAAGAGATTTCGCCTTTTCCCCCGTCGTTCTGCATCTCCAGCAGCCACCAAGAAGGTAGCGGTAGCACCGGTGGTGAAGCGATCCCTTTCCCACAGTATCAACTGTCAATCCTGCCACCAGGAAGTCCATGACCGCTGCTCCCTGGCCAGTCAACTGGAACACGTCAAACAAGAAATTGATATTCTCAAGCTCCATCTCAATAACTTTGTTCTGAATGCTTGCCCACCCCAAGTGGCCGAGATGAAAGACCTGATTCTCCACGACGGACGCCCCTGGGAACTCATTGAATTCCACGACACGGTGGAAGGAAGCAACTACCGCCGATGGCGCTTCAAGCGAGGTGCCGTGGACCGTCGCGTCCGAGCCCTCAAGAAAGAATTGGGTAGCATCAACGTTCGCTTTGTCACACGCGTCGAAATTGACTTTGACAAGATGGACAAGGACGCCGTCGTCTCTCTGCTTCAAGCGCTGGAAAAGGACCGCAATGTCATCACACTTGTCTTTAGAGGACACATTTCCGAGGCGGAGATTGACGATATCGTCACCGCCGTGGAAGACTTGACGACTTGTGACGAACGCGTCTGGGATGCCATTCTCTTTCATCCTTCCAACGACGAACGCAAGGGTCATGCACACTTTGTCTGGAAACGCACGCTCCTGGCGGCCAGTCTGCGATTGCAATGCTTGGCGCACACTTACGCACTGCCCGTTGCATTCCGTATCATTGAGCAGCAATAGTAGCTGTGATAATCATCAAATAAAATGTTGTACACTATGCTAGTATCCATTATTGCCTCTGCTGCAAGCTTTTGCTTCGATTAGATAGATATCTACTCATACAAGCATACAAGAAGACTAGCTCATACCTTGAAGTCGTCCCAAAGAGTGGTGCTGCTCTGCCTGGCTGCTGGCGACCATACTGGTAGTGTGCCAGTGAAGCACAGGTCGGGTCAGGTGATGATCTGGGTTGGGTGTATAGCTAGCAGGTGGCTGATGGCTAATGATTTGTACCTTTCCTTGGCTTCATCTGGTCCTGATAGCCCTGCATTTGGACCACGTGTTGGACGAGGTTAGTTCTGAACTAGAGCGGCCAATAGAATCTTTCTTCTGGGTGTGTTTCCTTGTTTGTGACGATCAAGCCACGACTCCCGTAGACAACAATAATGGATTGGTGGTGGCGAACCAGGTTGAAGAAAATGAAGAACCTACACAGATAGCTAGACCCGACAATTTGCATGGGAAAAACTCATCAACCTTTATGACTCTCGTGATCCTTCTTCTTATTGGTAGCATTCTCGTTGTTGGTGTGATTGTTGGATCCATCTGCGGGGCTGGTCTCTGCAGCAACCAAGAAAGTGATGTGGAGACTCAGGCCCCCACTTCTTTTCGGTATTTTATTTTGGAGGACATTCCAAACAGAATCGAAGAGGCTTTTGGGCCTGACTATTTTCCCAAGAATGATGAGCCAGGACCCACCCAGCCAAAGTCCAAGGCTCTCGATTGGATTGTGTTTGAGGATCCTCTGCAGCTCATCCCAGATGCCAACAATCTGCTTCAGAGGTTCATTGTGGCATTGACATACTTTCAAACATCCCAAGAGAGCGATTGGCTTCCTGTGGAAAATCAACAACCGCAAACGATGAAACATGTTGGATTCAAATCGCTTCTTATGAATCATTTGCAAGTAGGTGGCTCACAGGTGTTCACGAATGTCAATGGGCAGGAGTTTTGTGTGATGGAGAGAAGAGCATTACTCGGTTGGACCTCAGTGAGTTCTTTTCTAATTTTGTTGACCACAACAAGAACCAAACTGCATGATTCCTGTGCTTGTCCTTAGCTTGCTTTAATTTTCAGGGAACAATGGATTGAATGGCCCTCTGCCTACAGAACTTGCAAGTCTTCCAGCCCTGAATTTATTAGAGCTTAGAGTGAACCAACTGACAGGCACAGTTCCAAGCATATACGGCAGCTTCCTTTCCCTTTCTTCATTGAATCTCTTCAGCAACCACCTGTCTGGAAGCATGTTTGGAAACAAGCTCTCCACATTATTTTTAACAAACAATTCACGAACAGGCAGAGTGCCCACAGAAGTTGGACTCTTTGATGGGGTTACGCTTGGATTTGGTTCAAACTGCTTGTCCGGTTCCATTCCTACAGAGCTCTTTCAGGCTGGCAAAGGAATCCAGTCATTTTATTTTAATGACAATAAGGTATGACAACCTTTCCTCGGGAACAGAACATCAGTGATCTTGTCAAGACCCTTAACTGTGATTGATACCTCACCCTTTCTCTTTCCTTGCTTTGTAGCTTACAGGAACTCTACCCACTGAAATTGGAGCATCCCATGTAGGTCATGATCTCATCGTCGCTTTGCAAGGTAACCGTTTACGTGGAACCATCCCAACAGAAATAGGAGTTTTGAAGGGCTCTCTCACATCTCTTGATATTAGTTGGACCAATATGGATGGCTCCCTACCAAAGGAACTCTTCACCAGTTGTACCAACTTATCTCATCTTAGGGCTTCCAACTGTGGCTTGACTGGCACCATAAGCAGTGGACTGCAGCTTTTGTCAAAGCTATTAACCTTTGACGTTTCCAACAACAAGTTCCATGGCACCATCCCAGCACAGCTTTCGACTCTGACACTGCTACGCCAGTTTATTGTGAATGGGAATGACCTTTCTGGTTCCATTCCATCATCTGTCTGTGCTTTGGGAGGCCCCACAAAGCGCACATTTGAAGTGGCAGCTGACTGTTTGCCAAGGGGCGGAACAGGCAATCCCATGTTAGAGTGCTCTTGTTGCACTATGTGTTGTGATGGTGATGCTGCTGACTACAGTCTGTCCCAGTAGGGTTTCCATTACAGCCCTAGCTAGGATAAAATGGGCCGGGGTTTGTCTTGGAGACTGCAACACGCAATTTGGGATACGCTTGCTCCCAAACTGTTCATAACATCAGTGTTTTAATAGGGAAATCTCACAGTCAGCCACTTTTTGCTTTCTTCCAATGGAGACACTCTCCATCTAAAACCGGGTTTTGGGAAGATATCCACGGAAGCCAGCTAGAGGGCCAGTCTTATCAGGCAAAGCAGAGGCGAAATTCGGGATGTATGGCGAGGCAGCGAAAGTAAACATGGATTGCTAGCTAGTTGCAAGACAGAGCTTGTTGGGTCGCCCACTCCCGGACTTTGGAAACGACCAATACCAGGATCACTTCCAACGAAAAGCTTCTTCTAGCTAGATAGACCTAAGACAGGAGGAAACGGGTCGACTGCTCTCTAGAGTTCGTCATAGGACAACAGCGGCAACAATTGAGTCCAGCCTTCAACGGTGCAATGCACAAGCTTTGATATAGCTACGGGAGCACGGGAAGTGTTATTGTGTATGGAGCCAGTCTTACGAGCGTGTGAATTGGATAACAAACTCAGTGTATTGTTCGAACAAAATCTCACTCCAGATCCAGACTGACTGCTTCTGTTTTGTTGCAAAAGTTTGATCTTTCGACAAGGTTGTTGGGTTGATCCTCTCCCATCAATTTAGCTTGTACCGGTACCTGTCCATGGTACATCTTCTTGCGTCTCCTCTACTTCCTTTGGTAACTGCACCACCGGACGCATCATTCGCCCAATTGCCAGCAACTGTTCCCAAACTAAAAGGCAGGAACGCATCATTCGGTCCGTGAATTGAGTGCTGTGTGTGTTTCCAAAAAGACAGTCACAACATCATTTCTTTCCGTCGGTTAATCGGTGCATGTACGTACCTAAGTCAGGCTTGACGCTGCAATCCAATTCGACAATGGGAACATGCTGTTCTCTCAGAAATTGGATGGTCGAATCGTGATATTTGTGGTAATTCCGTAACCGTTGCAGCGCTGTATGAAAGTTGTCATCGGCCCGTTTGCCTTCCGACTCGGCTGCTTTGGCTGCCCGTGACATGATTCTCTCCATTAGAATGGTATCGTCACATTCCAGATGCAGTGCGAGTTCGGGCTTGCCACATAATTTTACCAAATCCAATGCATTCTGCATGGACCTTTTGTTGTTTTTTTGTTTTTGTTTTTGTTTTTTTTGTTGTGTATGAAAATAAAAATCGAACAGAGAGATACCATTGAGAGAGGAGAATGTTAGTTTTCATAATATGCCCATTATGTCGTCATCTCAATTTTGCACTGGTACTAACCTCGGAAATCCATCTAACAACACTCTCTTTCCTGGATGATCTCTCATTCTCCGTTTCATAAGGGTGACAATAATTTCACTGGACACCAATTCTCCTCGTGCCATGATTTCGTTGACCTGCTTTCCCAGGACAGTCCGTCGTTTGACTTCGCAACGCAGCAAATCACCGGAACTCAAATGTACCAACCCAGCCTCCTTTTCCAATCGCTGCGACAATACTCCTTTTCCGGAGCCTGGTCCACCCACAATGAGTACAATGCGAGCGGGGGCACTGCCCAATATTTTGTCGGCTCCCAATAAAAATTCTTGCAAATCGACAGAACCCGAGTTATCCAAATCGGCTTCGGCAAAGAGTCGTTGTACGGTATCATCGTCATGAGTTTCCCCAATTCCCTCCAACAAATTTTGGACTCCTTCCAGATCCAAACTGGGCTCTTGTGCTTCACCACTGGTTTTGCCCGTGTCTCTCTTGGTGGCATATTGAAAAAACAAATCCACGACGGCCGAACCTTCAATCGACGAGACAAAGGCTTTGGATCCTGGTTTGCTGGAGACTTGGACAGGTCGTACATTTTCTGCGTCGTTCGACTGCAGCCACAATCGTTCATCGTAATAGTCGTCAAAGACGGTCCGAACGGCGGTGGAGGATTTTAGGGGAGACAACAACCTCCTTGATGTCGGGGATCTGCGGGCCAGAGCCAATCCTGCCGTTGGGAGTCGATTCATTGTCTCTCTTTCCAACAGCAACAATTAGCTTTCGCAAATGATGATAGCTGAGGGTTGAGGAGAAGGCAAGATGGTCCGTGGATTCGATTCAAGGGGGCGCTCAAACTACTCCAAATATACTACTAGCTATTAGGAATTGGAAAATGCCTGATAGCTTCGCTGCGCTCACAGATGACCAAAGACTGCATGCATGCACATACCAGCTCGATCGATCCAGGAAACAAAGCTGGCTATCTTCTTCTTGGTGTAATGATGGGCCGTCAAGATCCGAATGTGACGTCCCACAGTCTTTCTCCCATGCAGTTGCTGCGTCATGTGAGAAAACGCAATCGCGTGAGAACCCTCTGAAACGTGGCAAAAATATCCTGACACCCATCGGGGACACAAACATAGCCGTCTCATCCTTCCCCCATGACCGAGATAAAATCTTCGTAGTCGACCCTGTGGGCAACCAAGGCAAAAGCCCTGCTTCCTTAATGCAATTGGGATTTGGTAATATTCCTGCAAATACCGCTGCATCTCATCCGGACTAAAGTCCGCCATTGTCGACTCTCCCTTTGACATCTTCTTTTATTAAAACAATCAGTAAGCTTTGTCTGCTTCAGGACACTATGAGGTCAACCTACTGTCTCTCATACATACACATCTGTCGTCGTATCCGCCTCAGCAACCTGCGGTGCCTTAACGGCGGATTTGTATTCGGGTCTGTTCTCGATCTTGCTCCGGGCGCTATCACTGGCCTGGCCCCACAAAGGACGCTGCTGCTGCCATCCGGCCCTCGCCACGCGCACATCTGTCACACTTTTGAAGATTGGAACCTGCAACGTCTTGACAAAGGACATGATTGCACTTACCAAACAACGGATGGCAAGGAGTGGAATTGTTGAGAACTATACTGGGGAAACGGATATTCTCGCAAGAACCCCTGGCGCTTGTGACCCGTGACAACGATGGAGAGTGGACCAACTTGGTCAATAGAGTTGTTCAGTTGACGTACACAGCAGAATCGATGAACTTGACCCAAGCAGATGCTCGCAACCTCATCGATGCTGATAATGATGATAAGCAGACCAGTCTCCCATCCAACGACCACTACAAACGTATGCTTCAGATTGTGGCAGCAATTGGTAAGGACCATGCATTGTTTCTACTTTGGCAGTGTGACAGACTGTACTATGAAACTCACTGAGTTTTGTGGCTGCATCCAAGGTGTTTCTGGTCGATGGCTGAACTGGAGAGTGGGGAGCTTGGGAGCTTGTGTTCCTACCGTACAGTGGCGCCACTGGAGCGAATGTGACTTGCAGAACATAGTCTTGGAGTAGAGCTACTGTACTGTACAGTAATATAGTTAGGTGTGGGTGGACGATATCTCAGCTTGTCTGAAAGATACAATTGCAATCGTCCTGGGCTAAACCAGCCTGCTGCTGGCCATAAATTCCAGGAGGTGGGGGAGGTTGGGATCCACCCGATGGCCTTTCGGAAACCAATGACCATTAGCGTTGGGGTTGACGTCCCTTTTCCTGTTAGCGACCTCCAGAGGACAAACCACAATGTGGACCTGTTGTAATCATTAGTCTAGCTAGAACGGCCTGAAGTACTACATTACAATGCCCAGACGCACCAATGCGTTGCCTGCTACTGGTACATGTATTAGTAGTGCCTATCCAAGAAGACTTGGAAGAAGAAACGAGACATCAACATCGATAAGATCCACAGCAAAATGGAATGGACGCGTATTTATAGTACTGATTCCAATGCTCCTTGTGGGGGTTGCACATGTACCTCTCATCTACTACTACAGCATCAACAGCAGCACAAGTTCCTCTGCTACTGATCGCTATGCTTTGTCTTCGTCTACTACTAGAATACGCAAAGAACAACTCAGTCCGCCACATTTACAAACATTATCATCTACCCAGTTTTTGTTGGATCTGACGGCTCCTCTTGAACCAGTGCTCAATACTACTACTACTCCCACAAACAATAATCAACCAGGATGTTTGGCATGGCGTGGCGCTCTATCACCACAACAAGTCCGGGATCATCTTCTTACCACAACGTACACTCCCACGGGCATTGTCATGACACTGGTCTTGGGGCAATCATCCTTGGATTTCTTGTGTCGCTTCTTTCCATCGCAGTGGCAGCTAGTCATTCAGCCACAAGGATGGGATGTTCTATTGGTCTTGGGGTATATGGATAACGATAATGATCGCAAGCGTTCCAAACAAAAAGAACAATTGATTTCCTGTCTGGCGCTCCAAGAAACACAACCACCACGACAACAGACATGGATCAATCAACTCAATAACAATAGCACAGTGACGACACGAGAGTACCACATTGACCACACTAATAATAATGTCACCACTACAACCCACAGTAACAGTCGCATCTTCCTCACCGAAATGGCATTGGCCGTGCCACTAGCCGCGCTACAGAATAATGGCAAACTCCCACCCATGTACCCTCGTCAATGTCAAGCCCCCAAGGCATATGTCTTGGGGACCCGCTGGTACGTGTACGAAATGCTGCACTTGAGTATCTTGCAGGAGTACGACTATTTCATCAAGCTGGATACCGATGTCGTGTTCCTACAACCCATTCCCCTCCATCTCCTCCATGACATGACGATTCGACGGGCCATTTGGGCTCATTTTGGGGCATATCCACCGCATATTCAAGCACCCTGCGGTACGGGCATTGTAGCAGCCGTACAGGACTTTTTGCAAACCACAACATCCACCAATCAGCCACGACAACTCTGTAGTAGCCACAACACCCAACTATTCCAAAAAGACGCCGATCTATACTACACCAATTTTGTCATTGGCCGCACCGACTTTTTCACATCCCCCCCAATCCTACAATTCAGCCGTGCTTTGTCGGCTCCAAATGGATTCTTTCGCTATCGATGGACGGACCAAATCGTGTGGCATTTTGCCATGGGTCTGCTGGTGGCGGATAATTTTCAAAAAGCCGTGGTGGATTATTCCGAATTCCGATGTACGCCCCGCAATCATTGTTGGATGTCGGTGCATTATTACAATCACGATCGATGCGACAATGGAGGTGTCTTTTTCCATACCAAGGCAAGCAATAGCAGCAGTCCGTGGACCTGGAACGAACACTATGTGGTGCAAAAAGATAGTGTCGTCTTGGGGCGGTCTGCGGTTCCTTATGAAACACAGTATGTGGATCAATGCAAACAAATGCCACTATGAAAAAGTTAGTTGAAAGGGGTTGAGGGGGCTAAACTATTGCTAGCTAGTTAGTTAGATGGAATCAGTTGCCCCCCTTTTCAATGCACATGTAGGTGTCCTCAAACAGAAACCCTGGAATGAATCAATCAAGAGTCCGGGCGACAGTATTGCACTGTTCGCTCCGCCCTACGTTAATTATTTCCATTTCTGCTGGCTTCGAACATCAGAGCCACACAATGGCCAACGGCCTTCACTCTCCCGACATTTCTGTATCCTTCTTCATCGACAACGAACAGATCGACCTGCACCTGGATCGAATCTACAGTGCTACAGCAGCCAAAAGAAAGCAAAGCATTAGTACCCCTGGCATTGACCTTTGATCGAGTAGTCTCCCAAGTATCATTTCCTCTTGCCGCACCCATTCGGTACCGGACGGCAATTCAACATCTGTCTCATCCTTCCACTCGCTAATTCAACAATAATCAACAACAGTCACCATGGGTTTGATGGAACGTATCAAAGAGATCGAGTCCGAAATGGCTCGGACTCAAAAGAACAAGGTAGGATTTGTACTACCATAGTAGGATGATGTATCTGAGTTCTGTAACCTGCGTGGCATGATTCGATTCTAAAAGGATCCCTATTTTTTGTTTGGTTGGTTATTTAGGCCACCAACTATCACTTGGGTACTCTCAAGGCCAAGTTGGCAAAATTGCGCAGTGAATTGTTCCTCGAACAATCCGGTGGGGGTGGTGGTGGCGGCACTGGGGAAGGCTTTGATGTAGCCCGTAATGGGGATGCTCGAGTGGCTCTGATTGGATTTCCATCCGTGTAAGCAATTTGCTAAATCTTGCGGATACTACCCTCACAGTGGGAGATGTTTTTCTAAATTGCTTTCTCATTTGCTTTTTTCTTTCTTTTTTCAGTGGAAAGAGTTCCCTGTTGGGTGCCTTGACAGCTACAGAATCGGAAGCTGCTGCCTACGAGTTTACCACGCTCACCTGTATTCCTGGTGTCCTGCAGTAAGTACCGTACAGTACAGTGATGGCTCCAGTTCAACCTCTTTTCTGGCTTGACAGATAGTAGAGGTGTTGCTTCCTTGGAAAATAGACTGATCTTGTCTTTTTGCTCATTCGTTCGTTTTCTTTTGTTGAACACAGGTACAAGGGATCCAAAATTCAAGTATTGGATTTGCCCGGAATTATTGAAGGTGCCGCCCACGGTGCCGGTCGCGGAAAGGAGGTGATTGCCGTGGCACGATCGGCCGATGCCATTCTCATTGTCTTGGATGCTGGCAAGGAACAGGGCAATCGACATCGGGAAATCCTGGAACGAGAATTGGAAACGGTCGGCATTCGACTCAATCAACGACCTCCCGATGTGACGGTGACAAAACGCAAATCGGGAGGTGGGATCCGATTTGCATCCACGGTGCCACAGCCCCAGTTAGGACCCGAACCAGAAAAGATCGTCACCAACATTTTGAGAGAATACAAAATCACAACGGCAGATGTGCTGGCCAGAGAAGGTGCGTAGCTGGTAGCATCGGTATCGCAGCGAGTTGTCTTGTGTGAAACAGAATTGCATCTCACAAAACGTTCTCCAATCCATCCATCCATCCATCCTACTTTTGCTTCCATCCATTCCATGTAGAAATCTCTGTGGATCAACTTGTGGATGTTGTCCTTGGCAACCGGATGTACAAGCCTTGTTTGTACTTGTACAACAAGATTGACACGATTACAATCGAAGAGGTACGTAACAGCCTGGATGCATGGATGTTCGTCGTTGTTGAGTGCCATCATTGTCTCATTTGGTGGAATTGCATCTTCCCGCTTTGCTACTTACTTTTAGGTGGACCAACTTGCTCGTCTATCACATTCTGTGGTTGGCAGTGTGCGATCCCAATTCAATATTGGAGAACCTTTGGAAGATGACCTTCTAAAGGCGCGGCTCTGGGAATACCTAGGGTTGACAAGAATCTACACCAAACGTAAAGGTACGTTGTTTCATTTCATTGTCGTCATTCTTGGTCCCAGCATGTGTTTTGTAGTGCTTCCTTGCTCAATTCTTTCTCTTCTGTACCTACAGGTTCACCACCGGATTTGGAAGAACCCGTGGTCTTGTCGGAGATTCGCAAGGGTACCACTGTGAAATCGTTGTGTGCCAATGTTTCCAGTGAGTTGTTGCGTGAATTCAACTATGCCTTGGTTTGGGGCACCAGTGCCAAACATTCTCCCCAACGATGCGGATTGAGTCACACGTTGGATGATGAAGATGTGGTCCAAATTGTCTCCAAGACCATCAAGCAGCAACAACAGGACAAGAATTACAACGTCATTTCGCAACAATTCAACGACAAGCATGCCAAGAAACGGCTCGAGGCCAAGAAGCAAAAGCAGCAAAGGCTGCGAGGTTAGATACAAGGATGCTATGTTGTGGCTGCACCTACTGTTGTTGATCAATTTCAGCTTTACAGAGTTGCCGCTGCAGTGGCGAATGCATATTGCTCGGACCAAGGAAATTCCTGCATCCAATAAGCTACACTAGCTAGTTACGAAGTAGCCAAGTTGTTCGTATGACTTCGTGTCCAACGTTGCGCCACCTTAGTCGAGCACTCCTTACCGCTTCTTTTCTAGAAATCGAAAATCGCGTTCTTCCACAATACTCGTCTACCGGTACGCAAGATCGAAAGTAGATTATTCAGGCCAATCTTCTCTGTCCAATACGAATCTCATCCAAAATGTGGTCCAAATGCAGGGCTATCAGCGCCGCCAGCTGAATGTCGAACTCAGTGATAACCACGTAGCCAGAAGCCATACCCATAGCAGCTATATATATATTATTTGGTCCAGCAAAGGTGGGGAGGGTGGTTGCTTCCCAACTATTGGTGCGCCACAGCATCAAAGAAATAACCCTTCTTTCCCTCTGATGCTGTGCCCCGAGACTTTCTAATTTTCAGCCAGAGGGGCCTTCCCAAGCCAAGCCAACAAGGTCTGTCTCACAGGCTAGCTACAGTGTCTCAATTGGAAGAAAGCAAAAGGTGGATGACTGCGAGACTTCCCTTTTAAAAAACACTGAGGTCATGAACAGTTTGGGAGATAGTGTAGCTCTCGTTGCGTGCTGCAGTCTCCGAGACAAACCCCGAGCCTGTCACTGAAACCCTACTGGGACAGACAGTAGTCCGCAGCAGCTCCATCACAACACAGAGTGCAACAAGAGCACTCTAGCATGGGATTTCCTGTTCCGCCCCTTGGCAAACAGTCAGCTGCCACTTCAAATGTGCGCTTTGTGGGGCCTCCCAAAGCACAGACAGATGATGGAATGGAACCAGAAAGGTCATTCCCATTCACAATAAACTGGCGTAGCAGTGTCAGAGTCGAAAGCTGTGCTGGGATGGTGCCATGGAACTTGTTGTTGGAAATATCAAAGGTTAATAGCTTTGTCAAAAGCTGCAGTCCACTGCTTATGGTGCCAGTCAAGCCACAATTGGAGACCTCAAGTGAGTGCAAGTTGGTACACTTTGTAAAGAGTTCCTCTGGTAGGGAGCCATCCATATTGGTCCGACTGACATCAAGTTCTCTCAGAGAGCCTTTCAGAAGTCCTATTTCGGATGGGATGGTTCCGCGTAAATGGTTCCCTTGAAGAAAGATGATGAGTCCATTACGTCCATGCAATGCTGCAATTTCAGTGGGTATTGTTCCTGTAAGCTACAAAGCAGGGAAAGTGTGAGCTGTCAATCACAGTGGAGGGTCTCGACTAAAGTTGAAGATCACTGAGGTTCTGTTCTGAGGAAAAGGTTATCATACCTTATTGTCATTAAAAAGAAAGGTATGGATTCCTTTGCCAGCCTGAAAGAGCTCTGTAGGGATGGAGCTGGACAAGCTGTTTGAACCAAATCCAAGCCACGTCCCATCAAAGAGTCCGACTTCTGTGGGCACTGTCCCGTTTAGAGAATTGTTGGAAAAATTTACGGTGGAGAGGTTGTTTCCAAACAATTCTGATGGAATACTACCAGACAGTTCGCTGTTGTCTAGATTCAGTAAAGAAAGGGAAAGGAAGCTGCCATATATGCTCGGAACCGTTCCTGTCAGTCGGTTCCCCATAAAGTTTATTGATTCCAGTGCTGGAATATTTGCAAGTTCTGTGGGCAGAGGGCCATTCAATCCGTTGTCCCCTGATAATGAAAGCAAGCTAAGGATAAGTACAGGAATCATGCATTTTGGTTCTTTTGTAGAGGTCAACAAAACATAGTAAACTCACAAAGCTGCAACTCAGTAATGCTCTTCTCTCTGCCACAAGAAATTCCTGCCCATTGACATTCATGAACACCTGTGAGCCACCTACTTGCCAAGGCTTCGTAACCTCGGACTTGAATCCAGCATGTTGCATCGTTAGTTGCAGATGGCCCACAATCGAGCCAATCACTCTCCCGGGATGTTTGAAAGTAAGTTAATACCACAATGAACCTCTGTAGAAGATTTGTGGCATCTGGGTCGAGCTGCAGCGGATCCTCAAACACAATCCAATCAAGAGCCTTGAACTTTGGCTGGGTGGGTTCTGGCTCATCATTCTTGGGGAAATAGTCAGGTCCCAAAGCCTCCTCAATTTTGTTTTGAATCTCCTCCAAAACAAAATATCGAAAGGAAGTGGGAGCCTGTGTCTCCACATCACCTTCTTTGTTGCTGCAGAGACCAGCCCCACAGATGGAACCAACAACAATTCCAATAATAAGAATGCTAACAACGAGAACAAGGATCATAAGAGTCCTTGAGGTTGATCCATTTTTTTCATGCAAATTGTCGGGTCTAGCAATCTGTGTAGGTTCTTCATTATCTTCAACCTGGTTCGCCACCACCAATCCCCTATTGTTGTCTGCGGTAGTCGTTGCTTGGTAATCTGTCGTACTTTCATTCCGTGCAGTTGTGCTTGAAGTAAGCTCTTCAACATGAGAAGAAGGAGTAGCTCCCACAAACGAAGGCGTGAAAGTTGTGGTTCTCTGGAGATCAGTCCCAGGGGCAACTGTATATGCTCCTGGATGCATGGTAGCTTCATCTGGCAGATTTTGCCCACGAGTCAACCTTGGTTGTGGAAAAGCAAGCTTGTCATCTAGACCAGCTTCTGCTGACGTAGTTTCGCAGGTATCTTGAGGATGATTCTGTATTCGGTCTTGTACTATCTTCAAAATAGAGATATCTTCTTCCGTTTCCTCTTCTTCTTTGATTTCCTCTCCCGTGGAGGTGTCACCTGTTGTGCTGCGATGTTGCTGCGATGACTGGAATGACCTCTCCATTTCGGTTCTCTTTGATTGCTCGTCTTCTCTCTGTTGGGCTTCCAATTCAAACAGTTCCAGCTTTCTGAGCTCCGCATCTCTATTGTCTCCTCGGCTCCTGGCAGCCACAATATCCATCAACTCTTCCTCATCATCCATTTTGCCTGCTTTGTGTGAGGCTCCGGCCCTTCTCGTCGTTTGAACTGGCATAAAAAATTGGAAGTTGGAAGAACAGCGAGATTCGATTGATTGAATCAATCATTCGACTCAGTTCGATTTATTCGATTCAATCATTCGATTCGATTGATCATTCTATTCCGGCCTTTGATCACAATGATGCATGCTGAAGTCGAAAAGCACACACCAGTCCTTCCAACATCGCAGCCATCACTACAAAAGAGGCGAGGCACTCTCTACGGTATCAAAAGCTACAACACAGACCAGCAACCACCCAGAAGAAACAGTCTACTGGCTTTCTCTCTGTGTCTGTTTTTTTCTATCCAGCAGAAAAAGTCCAACAACAATGCCGTCTCCTCCTCATCATCCATCCACCCACAGCCAATCCGTATTAGCCCAACGCGCCAAAGTCCTCCGCCAACAAGTCTGGAACGGCTGTCAAAGTCTACAAGGCAGTCCGAGTGAATTGTGGAAGACATATGTGTTGAAATTCTTGGATAGCTACGCCTATTTTTCACTGAGTGTCATTTTTACGCTCTTTTTGACGCACGATTTTGGCTACAGCGATGTGCAAGCCGGCACCATCTACGGCGCATGGGGTGCCTTGATTACCATTTACGGGTTGGCGACGGGTTTCTTGGTGGACAATGTCGGTGTGGCCGTCAGTGTCCGATGGGGATTTGTCATTCAACTCATGGCGCGCATTGTCATTTTTGTGACGACTTCCCGCACAATGCTGTTGTGGAGTGTGTGGTGCTTTTTGCCATTGGGAAATTGTTTGGGAATTCCCGTATTGACCATTGGAATACGACGCTACACGACAACCCACAATCGAGGATTCGCCTTTGGATTGTTCTATGTTGTCATGAATATTGCCGCGCTCTTTAGTGGACCCATGGTCGATCTATGCACAAAAGTCTGGGATCCGACATTGGCATCATCCAAGGAGGAAGGAGATCAGACGGATACTTCTATAGAAGGACAAGAAGAGAACGACAATACACCACGGGAATGGTCATTGAATGGATACAGACTGGTTCTCTTGACTTGCATCATTGCCAATGTCATGTCTGTATTGGTCAGTTTGACGGTCCGCGAAATCAAATTGGTAGATGACGATGATAACGACAAGGAAGCCGTGGATGGCACCATGGACAACAGCACCCAAGAAGTCGACGAAGATGAGCTATCCGTCAAAAAGAAGAATCAAATCTCCACCTTTACACCGACTCGGGGCAGTGCCTGGAGCATTCTGAAGGAAACTTTGGAAACCAAAACCTTTTGGCGCTACTTGGCCGTCGTGCTGATTACGCTCAATGTGGGAATGGTCTTTCGTCACTTGGACGCTACACTGCCCAAATACATGATTCGTGAATTTGGCCCCGACGTCGCCTACGGAACGGTCTATTCCATCAATCCCGCCATGATTATGATACTCGTGCCCATCATGACGGCCGCCACCAGTCAGTATGATCCACTCGTCATGATTCACTATGGGACATATGTCAGTGCCGCGTCGGTATTCTGTTTGGTGGTATCGACATCCATACCCGCCTGCATTTCCTTTGTCATTGTCTTGTCCATTGGAGAAGCCATTTGGAGTCCACGACTTTACGATTACACCATGAGTGTCTGTCCCGAAGGACGAGAAGGAACGTACGGGGCGCTGGCGTCGGCACCCCTCTTTTTGGCCAAATTACCCGTGGGCTTTCTCAGTGGCATTCTCTTACAAACGTACTGTCCTGCAGAAGGCCCTCGACACTCTCAACTCATGTGGCTCATCATTGCCTGCACCACGGTGACATCGCCCATTTTCATGACACTGTGTTGGAAGTTTGTGTCCCACAAAGATAGCGAGGACGACAAGGGATATACGGAATTGGCGGGGGGGACAACACCAGGAGGCTACGATGAAGATGACGACAACAATCAAGATGATGACGCTGACGACGAGCATTGCATCACGTAATTGTTATATCATGACCCGCAACGACACTACACAGCATGCCTACACTCTGAAGCAAAGACCTTCGAATGCGACAACTACGTGGCCACTGCTATACTAGTGGATAGTGTTGGATGCTGTTGTAAAATGAAGAGGGTGGATTGGCTAATCAAGAACTTTTGGCACCAAGAGCTGCCTGCGCCTGGGGCGTTCTGGCTATTGCAGCCTGCTCCTGTCGTAGCTAGAGCATGACAATCACAGCACTACATGCAGGAGTGGACGAACTGCCAAGTCAAGAGTTGTGACTTTTAAAAAGCAAAATCGAGGCTCTGCCCAGACAACGGCTCAATTTAACCTGGCTTGCAAAGAACCCTGATTGAATACATGTACAAGTAAGTACTATCTGATCTCAGCCAGAATGGAGGAAGTTTGGGATGTGGAAACTGGATATGGCAACGCGCCAACGTTGTTGTTACCAGCCTGCAGCCTTCTTCATTGTGCGTCAGAATTGAAAGCGGGATCAATTGAAAGGCATCATGGTGGTCTTCGCGAGCTACGAGTGCGGCAACTCGCACACCAAAAGTTCCTTCTTCCGCTTGGAGTGCACCCTTTTCTTTACATTCATCTACAGCGAAAGTCAATGGCTTATTGGAAGGCTCTTTTATCAGCGGATGCGTCATGGCCGGCCTAGAGAGATTTAAGCAAAAATGCCACGCTTGATTTGCTTCGTCAAACGAAAAGCCGACGCGGACGAGAACTTTTGACCTACTAGACCACCACAGCTGCGTTTGGAAACGTGGACGTAACGGCAAAGCTTCACCATTTTCATCTACAGTGACACAGAGAGCTTACGAGGTTGATCTCAAGTACAACCCACCTCCTCCAGCACTCCTTTACGGTCACTCTTTGCTGAACCATATGATAGTTCCATTAACAGCAGCAACACTCTCAAGCCACCCTCCAAGCATCATGAACAAGGAGACCGGTACCATTCCTCGCTTTCGGCTCTCTCAAGGTGCCTACAACCTGCTAACGAGACTGAAGGAAGAAGAAGTTGCGGCATCAAGACGCCTTGAAATTTGGAATGACGAAGTCGTTCCCTTCGATGAGCAGCCACCTCCTTCATCAGAAAAACCTGCGATAACCCAGTTAGACCCTCCAGGCGTTTCCGCCGATGGAAGAGTTGTTGAGGATGATCGTCGCCAACAACACGCTTCCAAGAAGTCAGCTGCCTCTACTGATGCGGCCACCAAGAGCAAACGGGCCAGCCAGAAGCACAAGCAACCTTCTCATGCGATGAACGCTTCATCAGCGTCACGGATACACCATGCAAGCTATGAGAAGATTCTTTATGCTAAACCGTACAATCAGAGCCAACATGCACAAACACAAGCAGAAGCAAAGGGGTCAGCCACAGACAAGTCCAACAGCCAACTGAAAGTCCCGTCAACGTTTCTCTATTCAGACGTCGGACAAGGTAAAACGATCAGTAGCTACAGGATATCCACTCGAGAGACAGGGAGTATTCCCGCCGCCAGAGAGACTCGAGGCATCCCACGGGTCATTGATTTCCAAATGGATAAGCACCTTGCGCCCACGGCGACAACACAACGAGACAGCCAACACGAAGATGATTGCACTGGTGCGGGATGCTCTCTTTCGGATTGCCCCAAACGAATCAAGGTAAACTTTCTCAATGATGACACCGCTTATATGACGTTTGGTCGGAGGATTTCATTGTGGTTGATGCATCGCTCTGCCTGGTACAATCCACGCTTGGGGTGCAGTGGTACATGCCCCCAACAAGACATGATCAAAGATGGTGGTCGCTATCGTTCTGCAGATGGTTACCCTCGTAGCCACAGCTTTGAAGAACGACCGTCTTTGGAGAAAGCGTGGGCATACTTTGAACATGTAACCCTCACACGGCACTTTCATGTCCCCAAGGATGACAGCTCGCCTCGTAAGCCTCTCCCCGTAAGGATATTGCGAAGGGTCTTCTACAAAGGTGACAAACAGCTCGACAGAGCAGAACCTGGGGAAGCTGATCGACCCACACGATTGTACCACCCCTTCTTTACCCCCAACAAGCAACTGGGAGACTTTGGATTGGGTGTTGGCCTGTACTTTGCTACCATAAGGGGGCTCACGATAATGGTGCTGTTGGCAGGTAAGAATGAGGAAAGGAAGGGGGCACATGCATCTGCGTCCTGCTGACCACGTAACTCGCCTCACCTCTCTTCAGGCCTCTTGCATATTCCCAACTTGTAAGCTCGCTGTACAGAATGATTCAATCTAGCTAGACAGATGCATACGTTGATGCGTTCTCACCATCCTTGTCTCATAAAAATCCTAGCATCTACTTTGGGGGCGCAACCTACAGTTCTTATCAGCATGATGTCAATTGGCTTCAAAAGGGATCTGCCATTTGTACTGACACACAGTGGGTACTATGTCCCACTTGTACCAGGCAGGACTACCCGGCATCCAACGAGGGTGAGACATGGGTTTACGATCCAATTCACGAGGTTGCTTTTGTGAAGAAGAACTTGTGCGACGGAGCTACACTGCAGCAGGGTTTTGTCAACTTTTCTGGCTTTATCTTCGTATGTCTGTGTGCCGTTTTGTTGAGCCTCTATCTGAAAGCGATGGAAAAGACGTTTCACGATGATGAACAAACTTCACAAGACTATTCCATAGTTATTGAAAATCCGCCCGCAGATGCAAGAGATCCTGAGGAATGGAAGAACTTCTTCAAGACTGCGTTTGATGCGCACGTCACGGCTTGCACAGGTAAGAAGTGCAGAAATGTTCCCGGCGTCAATCAAATCACATAATATGATGCCGTCCTCACACACTTGTTCCTGCAACAACCAACTTCAGTTGTCGTGAACAATGATAGATTGGTCCGGAGATGATGCGAAAGATTGAGTCACGAGTTCCACCGGGTACGCGCTTGGATTTAGCCACCTTGTCAAGAATTGCGGACGAAAGAGAGAAGAAGCGTGGAGTCTTTCGTACCCTGCTGGCCAAGACTGTCTGGCCAGGCTTCCCTGAGAATCTTGCGCGTCTGGCAGTCTTGACGGCAAAAGTTCAGGGTCTGGCTCAACAAGAGTATCCGGTTACCAAGGTATTCATCACATTTGAGACCGAATCGAGTCAACAGGAAGTACTTCATTGTCTCACAGTAAGCAAATCTCAAGCCGCAAGGTAAGTCAAACACCATTTTGCTGCCTGCGAATACAGCTGTTGCGGCTTTGTCGTTGTCTCATTTGATTCCATACTTGCTCAAAAGAAACAAGCTGACGGCAGTTGCTCCAAACCACGTCTTTCGAGGAAACCACCTCTTATACGTGAATCTCCCAGAAGAACCAGACTCCATCCGCTGGGAGTACTTGAATGCAACGAAAGGCAATCTCTTGAAACAACAGCTTTTGACTTTTCTCGCAACTGTTGGGGCGCTGTTTTTTGTGGCCAGTCTGGTGCAGGTGGTGCATCAAACGAATGCAATCTTCACAGCTTACACGATCGCGTTCATGAATGTTGTCTTCCCTGCATTTGCAAAGTTATTGACACGATTTGAAGCCCATCCAACCCATGGTTCTCTCCAGACTTCGATGTACTTTAAGATCGCGCTATTCCGCTGGGTGTCCACTGGTACGGCACAGCTGATGACAGGCTCAAAGCGCTTGCATGGATATCTATCTAACAACAGCCTTTGCCATTGTGTTAGCGGTTGTTATCACTCTGATTACTCCTTTCACGGATACTCTTCGCAACGGGAGCAAAGGTCTCATTGTTCAGGTATGCACCTTCATGGTGGATCTGATGGTTCACATCTTCCAGTTTGGTGCACTTACGATTTGTTCTGCTTCTGCCATGAAGATCCAAGCGCAGTTTTTTGCAGAGATCTCGACGGTGGCCGCCCTTCAAATTTCCGATCCCATCGGTCAAGTTCGACGACACATTCTCGCACCCAGATTTGCTAGAACACAGGACGAAATGAATGTGCATATGCAAGGCACTCAAGTAGAACTCTCGGAGCGGTACACGTCCATCTCAAAGCTGTTGTTCTTGACGTTCTGGTATTGTTCCATCTTCCCGGGGACGTTCTTCATCTGCGCCCTTTGTTTGCAGGTCATCAACTTTATGGACAGGTTCAGCCTAACCAGGACTTGGAAAAGGCAACCTCGCCTTGGTAGCAGAATATCAAGGTTCAACCGGGCATATTTCCTTCCATTATCAGTCGTAGGTAGGTACAATGCCTTTCAGGGTTGGCCTCTTACTTGGTTGTGGTAGCTCACCAACACTCTCTTTGATTGCTTGAAACGACGTTTAAACGCAGCCATGGGGATCATGTCATCGTATTTCTGGTCCGGCTTCCCTTTTGACAATCTTTGCGAGGTGGACGGTGCCGTGACATCCAATACTACGCTTCACACTGTTGCTTTTTCGAAGGCATCAGGTGGTGGCAGCTTGGACTACTATTCGATTCTTGACTACTACTATGGCGCCGAAAACAATTCCACTCAAAACGAAATTGACTACTATATCAACATCACAGTCCAGGATGGAGCACAAATCTATCAACACTGCAACCAAGATATGCTTCGAACACCCGGTCGTCAAACCTACCCGTTTGTTCCGATCTTTCAACAAGAAGGCAAAGAATGGATGACAGAGGAGCAGGAGATTGTGACAACATACTTTGGATGGATCGCTTTCTTCTTGTCAGTTTGTTGGGTCCTGATCATTTTTTTCACTTGGGCTCACAATCTAGTCTTTGGCTACTTCATAGCGGAATATGAGGTGAGTTTTATTTTTGCAGCCACTTTGTCACACCGTAACGAGAACGAGACTCACGGGCGGCGCTCCTTCCACAACTCCAGCCCCACGGCGACGACCAGCACATAAATTTCAGTGAATTGGAGGCTATCAACGTTTACATCCCAGAGATCCACAGTTCAGTGATCGCTTATCCTCTGTTGGCTGCCAATGTGGACGAAATTGACCCGGAACTATTTGAATGGACAGACTCTGAACATCCGCATGCCTACTACGACCTCACGAAAGATGCAGAAGCCCTTGTCAACGATTGTGGCAACAGTATAAGTGTGAGGGGTGTATTCTCCCAGGTGGCTCATTGGCCACCAAACAAGGAAGAAGACGGTTCGACTCTGCCGTCCCGCAAAACAGTCCACTGAATAATAATCAAAAGAACGAAACAGGAAAAGCCCGTAGGACATCCTAACCGGATAAGCTATGCGAAAGCATGCATCGGCCATCGATTGAGTAACTGAAATCTCGTGGAGTCGATTGCCGAATCGACGTGAGCAACGGGGGTTTACAGTAGGTAGATTATCTCTCGAATCGCGCGCGTTGGCGGTTGCCACATGGTGATCGCAGAGACTCCTCGATACGAACGCACCTGCAAGGACGAATGTCATCGATCATGAGAGTTTGCTTTTCCCTCTTACGTGTGTAATTGAGTAGCATGATTGTCAACACAACACAGCCATTCATTCCATTCAGGTGGAAGTCTGGTTCTCCTCAACCAGGAGCTGACCATTGGCATGCTGATTCTCGACTTCCAACATACTCATACTAGAACAGTTACACCAGCCACATCCACAGAGCATGGTGCCACAGTCGAAAGTCAGGTTGTTGGCAGAACACAAGCTCTCAGGGATAACGCCAGAAAGATCATTTCCATGCAACCAGACTTCACCGTAAGGTGCAGGGAAAGGAACATTGCCAAGCTCCAAGGGCACTGTTCCAGTCAATTCATTGTCTTGTAGCCACAACTGAATTAACTCAGTAAGCAGTCCAAGCTCTGTAGGAATGGTTCCTGTCAGGCTATTGCCACTCATGGTCAACACACCCACTTGCTCGTACATTCCCAATTCACTTGGGATTGTGCCCGACAAGGCATTCACGTCAAGCCAAAAGGTCCGCATCTTTGTCAGCAGGCCAAGTTCCGTTGGGATCTAGAGGAAAAAGAAGAATCCATGTACTCAGTTGTTAGAAGAAGAAGAAACTTGAGAGGACAGGCACAAAAATAGGCTTACAGTCCCATTAAAGGAGTTTTCCGAAATTGTCAAACCCTCCAGGGATGTCACGTTGCCAAGCCACCTGGGGATCGTCCCCGTAAGACCGGAGTTATCCAGTTGCAGAACCAATGTGTCTGTAAGAACTGCAAGCTCATTTGGGATCTACCGCCATGTGTTTGTAAGATTTCGACAAGGAATCAAGGAGTTTTATTCAAAAGTGCCATGCTGAAAACTTACAGAGCCACGCAGCATCAGGTCATTCAGCAACAAAGCCTCCAAGAGAGTCAATCGACCAAGTTCTGTGGGAATTGTCCCGGTGAAAAGGTTGGTATCAAGTGTTAGACTCTGCAAATTAGTTAGCAATCCCAGTTCTGTGGGTACCTGCAATATTAGAAACAGCTAGTGAGAAACACCAAACCTGCATTATGCAGAGACAACACATTTGCACCTACTGGTCCTGTCAGCTGATTATAAGTTAGAATAATGCTTCTCATGGAGCTCATCATCGAATAAAGGGATGATGGAATCTGGAAAAGACAACAATTCAAGGTGTAGCAATGACAAGGTGAGATATACCGTAGCAGCTTAAGGTCGAGATCTGCTCAGATATTCCATGGGCTATCCACTTACAGTTCCCGTCAAAGAGTTGAAGGCAAAGTAAACAGCTAAAAGTTTTGACAAACTTCCGAGTGCTTCAGGGACAGAGCCATAAAGATCACAACTGATCATGGAAAGGTACTCCAAATTTGAAAGGCCAGAGAGCTCTTCTGGGATGGTGCTGGTGAGGTTCAATTCATCCAATGCCAAGCTCTTAAGTTCCGTAAGCAAGTAGAGCTCTGGTGGAATCCCTGATCCCATCAGGCCATTAAAGGACAGCCACAAGTGCCTGATGATTCCATCTCCCTGATGCAAGATACCATCCTCTAGATATCCAGCTAAATCTTGTTCGCAGGGATTGATGAGATCCAGTGAAAGCACAAAATTGGCCTCAGACTCGAAATACCAATGCTCCAAACTTGAATACCAAAGGCACTCATGAACACTGTGGTTTAGCCAATTGTCACTAAAGGACCATCGTTCTTTGCTGTTGGCAAAATAGAATGTAGCGAGTACAAAACGTTGTAAAACTCTCCCCTCTGTAAGGCTGTGTAGAATGTGAATCTCTTCCATAAGCCATCCAAATGCCATCGACTGGGGTGATCCTAGGTCCTCCAGAATCGTAGAGACTGTTGATTCCGGGAAAACTGATAGCCAGTATTCTGAATAAGAAGTTGGCACAGATGTTGGGATGGGAGTTTGGGAAGGAGTTGGCATGACTGTCTCACCTGGCTTGTTTCGTACTGACAATGTGACAATCAAAATCAGTGCAACTGCCAGGATAAAGATGATTCCAAGCAGAAGGTAAATCTTGACCTGCTTAATACTTTCTTGATGTTGGGCTTCGCTCTGGGCAATGGCATTGTCGGCACTCTTTGCTTGCGGTAGATTTTCTGGTGCGATGTCATCATCCTCATCAACCAAATTTGCCACTGCAAGTCCTCTGTTTGATTCTGTAGGAATATATTCTTTTTTTGGGTCTTCAGTGACCTGCAAACCTTCTTCTTCATGGACACTAGGCAGGCTGGCCTGACTGATCATTGGTTGATTGGCAGTGGCACCGACTAGGGAGAATCTTAGAGTGTTTGCGCGTTGGAGGTCTGTACCCGGAGCACCCGAATATGCTCCCGGACGTTGATTGGCATTGGATGTGGGTGCAGGAGGATGGCTGTTTGCGACTTGGGAATTAGCTCCTTTTGGAGTGGCAGTATTTTCACTTTGGCTGAGGTCTCCTGAATCTTGGAGCCGAGCTTCTACTATTTTGGCCAGATCCAGTGGTGCCAGAGTTTTTGCCTCGTATTCTGCATTTTTTTGCGAGTCTTTGTTTGTTGCAAGAAAATTTAATGTGGGATCTTGTTTCCTTACTGGACTGGCATCCGAATCTTTTAGCCGTGATTCCACAATTTTTGCTAGGTCCAGAGGATCCATTGTTGTCTCTTCTGTATTTTGGGGGGCTGTACTACGTGGCAAAGAATCTTTCTTTTCTACAGGCTTTGTTGCAGTAGTTCGATGTTGCCTGTTGTTGTCAGTGTGAGACATGCCATTGGATTTTTCCTTGGATGTTCTTGCTTCTTGTTCAAACTCTTGTAGCTTTCTAAGTTCCGCGTCAGCAGCTTTGCAAGTGCTACCGGCAGCACGGACTTGGAGAGCCTTGCGGATGATGACATCGAACTCTTGGGAAGGTAATTCTGCTGTTGACGGTGATTGGTGCGACTCATTTAAAAGAGGGGTGCTGGTGCCAGTTCTTGTGGTTGTTGTTGTATCCGGGCCAGCTTCCGTATCAGTTGTTGACGGCTGTGGTTTGCTTTTTTCTGTCGCAGCAGGGCCAGTATCACCGGGCGTCGGCATGGCTGCTTGGTGGGCATCATCACTATCTGTGGTTGACTGCATAGTTAAGTCTTTGATAGCTGTCATCCCATTGTTGTCACTCCACCATCAACTGCTTTTTAAAGAACACGAAAGCGCGTTACTGGATCCATGCGACGGACAGAGGGGATGGGTCGAGTGCGGAAGCTGGACATACGACCTGTACATGCAGAGATCTGGCAAGAGTTAAAAAGACCAGCAAAAAATGGAAAGGTGGGGGAGCTGGTGCCGACCAGCTCCCGCCTGACCCATCGAGGGACTGACTCATTCGTCACTAACTCAGCCGAAGTACGTGTTCAATAAAAAATGAGTGGTGTTGGAGGGAAAGCAAGATGACAATGGGAAAAAGTTGCGGCTCATCTTGCCATTAAAAATCTACCAGCACAATCGATTCTACACCAGACCAGGGCTCCTCTCATAACAACAATATTCACCATGAAATTCTCGGTTTTGTGTCTTATAACTCTGTTGGTCGCTAGCACCAGCTTTGGCTTTTGTCCTGTGGCTACCCCAGGACGTCGCGTATCTTTGGTAGTAGCCAGCAGCAGCAGCAGCAGTGATGATAATAGTCCCTTTAACCGTGCCTCTCGTATTGAAGGGAATTCCAGACAGCCCAATGAAGAAGAAGTAAAGATCATGGATGAAATGATCAACAAATTGGCCAATGCCAAACCCTACGAGTTACCCAATGCTGTAAGACGCCTATGCTTCCCACTCTTAGGCTGGCATTATGCATTGGTTTCTGATTTTAATTTCTTTCTTCTTTTTGTCAGGTCCGACGTGCCTTTCGTGTCATTTCTTCTCCTCCATTTTTCATGAGAATTGCCTCCTTGACGGATGCCGCCAGCGATGCTGTGGAAAAGGAAAAATTAGCGGCGTTGGCATCCAATTTGGTTGCTACCCTCGAAGCGGTGGTGGAAACGACAGAAGAACAATTGGACGAACGAGCCAAGGAAGTGGAAGTGGTTGTCAAGGCAGCCGCCGAACCAGACTCGGGAGAATTCTTGGTACCACTCTCGCAGGATCGATTGGTGGCCATGCGACAAAAATTGCAAGGACTCGAACCCAATACATTGGACGAAGGTTTCCTGTCCACGGTCGATGCCTGGATGAACAAATCACATTTGGATGGAATGGATCTCATGGTACAAATCTTGCAATCCGTGTTGCAAATGTATGCTGGAACGCAAATCTTGAGAGCCAAAGAAGGGGAAGGAGATGCGTCGTCATCATCATCATCACCGGCAGCAGAACTCTTTCATAAACTGCTCCAAACGGAAAGCGATAATTGGGACGCGGAAATTCAAAAGGCAGCACCCGGAGTGACGCCATCATCTCTCAAAAGTGAAGTCCAACGAGCCATGGAAACTATTGTGCTGGGTTTGGAAAGTGGATCCATGGCACAACAGGTTCAGGCAGAGTACTTGAGAGAATTGGTGACCAGAGTGGAAAAGATTGAAAAGCTGGTTTAGAAGGAAGAAGATGAAAGCAACGATTCCAGGCAACAAACAAAACGACACCTTGTCAACAACAATCTGCACACATTTTTAGTTTTGTAACCAAAAAGGCATAGCTGCCAATGGCAAACCGTGCCATTTTGGAACACCAACACAATCATGACACTGAAGTCAGGTAATCGAACTAGTCTAGTAGCTAGAGATCATCAATTTGCACAGGACCAACTTGCTGTGGAGCTTTGAGCCACAGCAGCCTTTTTGATACGTGAAGACCCAAACGCAACCATTGTACTGGTAAAGGGGGAAGTTACTACGGGCTAGAGTGGACCGTGGTGAGGATGGTTTCCAGAAGAGGAGGGCGTGGCAGGATGCAAGAGCGAAAGCCGAACAACCGAGTGAGCAGATCAATGACACAATCAAAGAAGGAAAGGGTGGCAAGGGATGAGAGGATCAAAGGACAAAGACTAGAAGCGGAAGAGATCAAGATTGCACTCATTCGTCCTATCTTGGCAAAGCAAAAGCATCTAAATTTAACTATAGCCAGTCTAAAAGAAAGCAAGCGGATTTTCAATCACCCTTCAACGAAAGCCGGTAGAGCTACCAATCGTGCAGAAGGAGGATGAGACCAAATCTCAAGAGGCTAGCCACTGGTACCGGTATCGGTTCCTGACGAAGGTAGCCAGTTGCAAGATCTGTTACAAACCACAAGGCCCCTTTTAGGCCTTCTAATAGCGAACGAAGACAAAGGAGAATGAAACATTTGCCTCTAGCTAGGCGAAATGACTGCCTCGCCACAAATAGCACCCGTGCCAAACGAACACGGTCGGGAATCTTGGCTGCTTCAAGAGCAACCAAGTCTTGGGCCGGGGCCCACACATACAAACCGGAGGATCCAGGAGCAAACCATGAGCGTTCATCATGTGCGGTGCCCCCACCAAGAGGTTGTTGGAGGCAGCAGGTGCACTCACTTGGTGACCAAAAGGCGCACATCCCAGCCAGCCTGAAAAATATCGAAGAAGCAAGGCAACAAGATCAAGCAACGAAAGCAACTTGTTGCTAGCTTTCACGGGCCCGTACAATGATATCAGTTGACATTCGGACCCAGGAAACTAGGGAACCAAGCTACGACTATCTTTGGAACTCTTGCTTGCCCTACCGCCACTATTTTTAAAAACCTTCTTGGAAGCAGTTGAAGCTGTGGTTGGAAGCAGTTGAAGCTGTGGTTCTTGAAAGCAGTTGAAGCGATTGTTTTTTGCGTTCCTTTTGATCGTACATGCAGGTCATTTGGTCTCTACTGTCATATGCATGCCATTGCTGACTTGCTGCTGTCTTCTACTCTGTACTAGCTAGCTAGCTAGTACTCTTAAAAAATCGAGTTGTCATTGTTGGCGGCAGTGCGCCGAGTTGCCAAACATGGCAAATGCGGATGTTTAGGAAAAGGCAAACAGGGGAAATGGAGCAAAACCGGAAAAAGACTCCAAATCCCACTGGGTAGTTTTTCTCAAGACGGTAATTAATCTAAGTCAACAGCCTCCCCGCTGGTTTGATCGGTCGCAAGATAATACATGTATTGAAGGATTCTTTTGTCCCTTGCAACAGGCCTCGAGATCATGTTGTACGATCCGTTTGACAGCCTCAGAGCAAACAAGGCAAATGACTGAGACTCCGCCGAAGACACGAGGCTAGCGCTAGTCAGAGAATGGCTCTCTAGCTACTAGCTTGTATTTACTAGTGGCTACAGAGCGGCTAGCACGGCCTTGCGGAAGGACAAAGGCGAATAGTGCGGAAGAGTACCAGGTACTGTTTGCTAGCTACCCACCACATGCAGCCAGTCGTACTCGTAGCACAAATGTGACCCGGAAAATCAGTCTTGAATAACGCAGCGGCAGCGCCAACAAAACAGGCGGCTGGTTCGCCTTCGCTACACAGTGCTAGAAAAAGTCTCTGATCTTATTGACGATGACTCCAACTGCTATGATTGCGGACATGGATACCATTGTGTTGGAGCTTGGTTGCCAATAATGGCAAGAAACCGAATCCTCTCGCTGAATGGTACACAGATGCCTTGTTGTACATGACATTGTTGTGGTACCACTGGTTTCTTTCGGTCTTGACTCCCAACGCGCGGTCGGTCGAGCTTGCAAGCGCATAGCTACACCATAGCAAATATGCCGGAAAATCTTACACCAACCGTAGAATATCTATCGAGCATCCCAAGGATAGTAGTCTACCACTCCAGTATGATACTGTACGTACTTCTTTCTGGTGGTACCAGTAGAAGCAATATTTCACGCTATTAGTCGATGGGCCAGTAAATCTAGTACGGTAGCTGTTGGGGTAGTCGGTATCCTGCTGTTAGGTTAGTCGGTAGCTATCCGTCAGGTTAGTCGGTATCTGGCTGTTAGGTTCTTTGTTGCTATTAATGGTTGGTCTCCATGTGCTACTCTTGTACCAGAAGCGGTCCCAAGATCCAACCCGAAGCATGACTTCATCCGGGATAGTTTTCGTAATGGACCTTTCCTTCGGGTGAAGGCGAGGTTGGCTGGAGTAGAACTGGCGGAAGTAAAAGTGGTGCAGTTGCGGCTGGGTGTGCTTCCGTTACCGTACTTGGTCCCTGGTAATTTGTTTGCGTGCTTAGCGTTTGATGGTTGGTTACCGTAGCTTCTTGGCTTTCTCTGGCTCTACTAGAGGACTAGCTAGAACCATCAATGATGTTGTAGAATGGACCTTCCATTGGGTGTCTATGGGAGGTTGGAGTAGAACTGGTGACTGGGTGTGCTTCCGTACGTTACTTGGTAATTTGTTTGCTTGAGTTTCCTTTGTTTGATGGATGGTTGTTGGCTTGGCTTGGCTTTCTCTGCTGGCTAGACTAGCTAGTAGTAGAACAATGGTGTTGGTGTTGTAGTAGTAGTAGCAGTAGTGTGTATGATTGTAAAATGTAATTCTATAATGGTACTTGCTAGAGTAACAGAACAACCAGAGACTTGCTTCTTTTTGGTATCAAGTGTAGTAGTAGTAGCTGTTCAACAAGATGCGCAGCCAGCTCTTCGGACATGAAAGCCAATGTCGTAACTTTCGCATCCTTCATTGGAAAAGACTTCGACGCCATCGTCCATGACACCGAGTGTCTCCCAGTCGGCAAAGGCTCCAGCAGTGGATGCCGACGGCAGTGTGGGACACGCCCGCAAATCCGTCAGGGTATCATTGTCATTTTGAACGACAGAAACCCATTCGGAAATGGCATCCAGGTATACCGTAGCCAGCATGTAATCCTCCAATGCAATGGCAATCTTGGTCAAGCTAGTATTGACGGCGAGTGCATCGGGGACCGTGACGAGCATGAAATTTTCCAAGTTGATTTTCTTGTCACCAAATCGTGCGTTGCTGCTGTTGAGTTGCAGAACAGGTCGAATCTCGAGTTCTTGCAATTGCGAATGATGTTGAATCAAATTGGTAAATGCCATGTGGTTGGTTCCATCAATGATGCATTCGTCCAAGACGACGCGGCGGAGTTCCGGCAACTTAGCCGGTGATGAGAGACAACTGGGCATTACAAAAGCAAACTTGTCGACCGGACTGGAGGAGCATTCATCCGCCACTCCACGGCAATCGAGAATCTCCAAGACACGCAATTGCGATTGTTGTTCGACCGATTTCCACAATTGATCGACTGTCTTGTTGTTCACATTCACAAATTTGCAGTGGAGAAACTTGAGTGTCTGCAGTTGGGAGGTCTTTTTGAGGAGTTTGTGGACAAAGGGCACGTAGAGTGCGGATTCGCAAAAGACGACTTCCATGAGTTGTGGTAGTTTGCCCAAAGCACCAAAGACATTCTCGAGATTCTTCATCTTGCTCAATTTGCGGAGTGGATCATTGGTCTTGTAGATGATCTGGAGTGTATGGGCGTTCTTGTAGGCACCCTTCTTGAGGTCCTTCCAGATACTGTCGAGTGTAGCCTGATTCTCAATGATTAATCGAACATCTTCTTCAAAGTGAGCGGCACCACACGAAGAAGAAGCACCCGTGCTGATAGTGTCGACCGTGCTCAAGGTGTCCATGCGGCTGCGATTATTATTGCTCAAGTCCAGCTTGTCGCCAATGCTGATGCGGGGGATATTGATAGCGGACAACATGATGGAACTGTTGTGATGTAATGTGATGTGATGAGATCTGAAATTATGATCTTTTTGGTGGTGGTAGTAATGCAATGTTAGCGAAGGTTGCTTGTATGCAGTTTGTTTGTTTTGTGTTGCCTTGGCGTTGGATTGTGAGTCGAGTTTGTGAGCACAAAAAGGCCGCACCCTGAAAATTTTCATGGACATACACACCGAGTAAGTGGCCTTGAGCTGAAGCAGGAAGACAGGCGTCTTGGCGTGTCAACTGGTACCACTCATCTCGTAGTGACCTCTCATCGTAGAAGTTCGCTTCCGCTGGATGTTGGACAGCTCCCGAAACCGAAACCACATGTTTTCCGTTTTTGCCGTTACTTGAAACATGCATTGGATCAGAGCGTAGCAGTCCTGTATGCCAGAATGACACTGTTTAGCAAAGTCAGTGGATGACCTCTAAACAATGCTGGCGTCATCTCAAGAGACGAACCCAAAACACTTAAATCCATTAGTATCCAGTCTCCTCTACAATTCCGTGGCTGTCAATCTTTAGCCATGTCTGCCAAAGTTTACTTATAGCCGGGCTTGCACAGTCGTAGATGAAATGGTCGCGCTCTGATGATGATCTTCCAAGAGTCTGTGCCAACAGTCAGATCCTTCGGGAGTTGACAGTTACTCTTGCTATCGTATGAACAGTACTAAAAGCTAGTACTAGCTAGTTATCGCCACTAACTGCTCTTTTGCTGGTTGGATCTTCCAAGACCTTGAGCTTCGCTGGTATCAGAGCTGGCGCATTCGTGCGTTTTGGAACACTGCTGAAGGGCTACCGTAGGGAAGAGCTTACGGAAGCAGTATCCGGCGCTGTGAACTGCTGTGAACAGTCCCTGTGCCACCAAATTTGGGGGTCACTTAATCGTTTCGAATTTTGACAGATCCCCCAAACAGCAATTCCAAGTTAAGCCCCCCAAATTTGGGGTCACAGCTTTCACTGATGAGAACCAAACCGAAACAGCTCTGAAACACGAAATGTCTGCTGGCACTCTCCCATAATTCATGTTCGCTGGTAACCATAACAGAGAGTTTTACAATGACATGTACCAGTTCGCAAGCAACAATGTTATGACCGCATGCTTTATGGTACCAGTTCCCATGTTATTACCGCAATACGTTCAAACACACTTTCCTTCGTTCCACTGTTTCTACGCATAGAACAACGCGATAACGCGATACAAGAGTGCAAAGGCAACAAACTGCTCGGCGCCCAGCGCCCACACCCATAGCGAGAACGTGGTACAGCTACAGACTTAATTAGTACACCAGTACCAGTACTCAGGAGTAGTCGGATAAAACGATGACGATGCGACGTGGAGCTATCGAGGCATTTTAAGACAGATGTAACTATGATTTAACCAAAGTGCTTCTAGCGTCTTGACCTTTAAGTATGATGGGCTTGGAAACCCTTTTTGTTGATCCAAGCCCTTTTTATTGATCTGGTGTACATGTATGTTGTAAACCATCCTGGATGGGTCCCCATTCCATTTCCTCCAGTTGTCGGGTACACAGCATCTCCAAAGTCGGTCCACTGTCGATTCATCTTCAATCATTAGTCATTCCACAGTATGATGGGAAAGTGGTTCAACGTCTTATGGGAGCGAGCCATGTTTAGCTACTCTCTAGCTAGCTAGCGTCGCTGGCGTCAAGCGGAAGCTAGCTACGTGTAGCTACTACTAGTAGAGCTAGTAGCTTGCAGACACTGCTAGCTGGCTAGTCCAAGCTTGCTATGTTGCGTTTTTGAGACGCTGCCGACTTATGGGGGCTTTTCAATTCATCGAGGAGCCTTGCGCCATTTCCGTTTATGTTTGCCTTTGTGGAGAATGGAAACATTGACAATTTCCATTGGTCTTTGATTCTGACGGGCCCGGTAAAGAAGGAAGTCGGACTGAAGACCGTTCGGGTCTTCCAGAAGAGAAGATTACGATCGTGTTAAATTCGCGAGCCTGCCACCCGAAACCGGTAGATAGAAAAAAGAGTTATTGGAGTAACAAAAAACTAGTCGATGTGATTTTATCAATTGCAGCAAAAAGTGAGTATTCTAAATATAATTTATTTACTGGGATTGACAGAGACAAGCCTTCAGGCTGGAGTTCTGGTGCCGAGTGCTTCAAACGTGTTATCGTTCCGAACTCAAGTAGGAGATCTTTTCGTTGCCCACGAAAAGCGGCTCGCGTGCTGCCTGCCAAGTTGTGTACCCTCCCATCGCTTACGGTAGTAGTAACTCATCATTATTTTTGTTGGTTGCAGTTTGTGGGAGTAGTTGTTTTGTCCCCACTCAAAAACCCGACCACGATACACAAACGGCAGCAAAGATGACGGATAGTTTTCCTGGTTTATCTCTCTCTGGGAGACAGCTGAATATACAAACAGAAAATCCAGCGAAGGAGGATAAGGATGTCTTTTTCCCTCTCGATGAGACTGTGACGAAGCTGAAACAACTACTGGCGCAAGCGACGGATGAAGGCAGCAACATTATTTTTATCCGAGCTCCTGTCGCTGCTGGCAAAACAACTCTTGCCAATTATCTTAGGACTAAGCACAGTGATGAGTTTGTAATAGTTGCGTCTGCAACATCCGAGAGGCAGTGGTTTAAGCATGTCATCGAGGCTAGCGGCCAAACGAACTTGGACGTTGATAATGTCCGGAATGCGTTGATTTCTATTGCGAAACAAGGAAAGACTATTATCATTGATGAGGCCCATCGCATATTTGAGCATCCAAAAGTGGTCGTCACCTTCTTCAAGGATATGGAGATTGCTGATGTCGCACCCACATTTCTCCTCTTTTCGGCTTCTGGCTCCACCCAGGACAGCCAAGGCAATCATGTGTCAACACCCAAAGAAATAAAACGAAAGTACATGTGGTATCCTCCTATTCCGAATACAAGTATCGACAAGTTGCGCACAGATCTGGCGGAAGCAAAGAAACCTGTTTATCTTGATGCCGAGTCCGTCCAATTCTTTGTCACTCTCTGTGGTGGTCATCGTGGGATCTTTATGCATGCCATGAAGTGGGTCCAGGAAAAGCAGCAGAATGCACCACAATCCAGTGTTGATATTTCTGAAAATACAACTCTCAACATCACAAATTGGAAAATTACCCAAACAGTTTCTAATGTCCGAAAAACGCTCGAAGAAAGCAACATGAAGACAGGGGCACTGGGGTGGAATGTTGGTTTGCGGAAGTTCTTGAAGGAATGTCGGGCAGTTCGCGTGAATGGCGATTATTCCAACATTCTTAATATTCCAAAAGAATTTGGACTTGTTTTATATGGCGGTCCCAAGTTGATGGAGGAACTTAACAATCAAGAGCGCACTTTGGCTATCAGCGGCTTCTTATTTCCCGAGCGTCGAGACACGGATAGAGATAACGAGTTCGTGAAGTATGATTGGAATGATAGTACTGTCATATATGCAGTGCCGAATCCTGTCATGGCTGAGTATTATGGTGACATCTTACCGCATAAGGTAAAACACTACAAGCGCCAGTTGCTGGAGGAAAAGAAGAAACCGGATTGTGCTGCCGACTTAATGGCGCGTGTCCTTCCTTACCTGACCTTCACTGCCGTGGTCGACAACCCAATATCAAGAGAAGACGGGAGCTTGAGTAATTGCTTATCACGTAAGGGAATGCCGTATGAAGATGATTACAATGGTGCGATTGCCGCAATTTTGAAAAAATCTTTGGGGTACCACGTGGCAACGCCAAAAGATTGCGTACTTGGAAAGACTGAAGTTGTTGTATCATATGAAGACGGTTCAACTTGTGCAATTGAATCAATCATGGCAGCTCAAGATCTGGTGAGTGCGCTGTTTTGCTGTTTGCCGAGTTTTATAACACTTTTTTTTTCTGAGTTCTCACTTCTCTTTGTCGCTTGATTTTGATTTCGATCCGAAGAAAGCCCATCTGGAGCATGCCAAGCGCTTTTCTAATCCTAAAAAGATGAACTACAATATTTCTCAACAACAGCTTCTGCTAGTCATTGGTGGAGTCCGAAAACAAGTGAAAGAACGCGTCCAATACGTGGCAAAAACCTTGGGCAAGAAAGGTATCCTTGAGATTGTTGGTCTCTGTGTCTCGCTAAATCATGACAGCTATGAAATGTTTCGCGAAGGTGAGGAAGATCCCATCTATTTTGTCTGTGATCGTGTTCCTAAGACACTCAAGAAAGACAATGACGGACGTTTCGAAACTGCGCAAATTTGTGTTTTTGAATGTGATGACACAGCCCCACATCCTAAGAAATCCAAGCCTTCAGAGGAGCCTTCCTACTAGCTAGCCCTCGGGAGGAGGCTATATCTTGTAAGCAAGCAGACTATATTCAGATTGCTAAAGACGATTGTGGTGCGTCCGAATTCCCGTTGCCGTTCAAATACGATTACAATGAAGGTTAAATGATCTTTAGCATTGTTGTTCTATTCTAATTGATTCTCGTGATTTATCCTGAAGTCGTATGGCATCGGTTAGCACACAATTATAGGATATTTATTTGAAAAAATGAGAGCCGAGATTGCTGATGGGAGTGTTGCAAAAAAGTCCACCATGACGGACGTTGAAGAAATGCGACGACGTTTACAGGACTACTATCGGATTCCAATTGCGTTAAGGAAGCAGGGTACTACAAAGGCTCCATGCCCTTTCTGTGGGAAGCTGGTGGAATACCCCCTGGGCGACGGACATCAGGATGCCCAATGCGACAAAGACGAATTGGATGAGCTGGAGATTGAGATTGGAGAGAGAGTGTTTATCCCTGGGTATGGCGTTACTGTAATTGAATATCCTGAGGACAAGAGGGTGGTTGTCCCAGATAACCTTATCTTCCACTAAGTTGGGAGGGTTTAGGTCGAGAAGAGGGGGACTTTTGAGATTCTCGGAGTTTCTTTCTGTCTTCAGGATTTAGGTCATATACACTTTGTTGAGTGAATGTCATTCGGTTGTCTCCTACTTCTCCAGATTTAGAAGGCATTATTTAAGAAAAAAATTATGAGCTGTTACGTGTTTGACGCCAGGCTTCCACACAGGGATTGGGTGAACTTGGAACTTTCTTGGTGGGACGGGGTTCCATTGGGAAAGATCCAAAGATATGGTTGGCTTTTTCTACAAGTGTCTGGCTTGGTTCTTTGGGTTGAAACATGTAGGGTGTTCTTGTATTAAACGTGAAGTTCCCTGTTGAATCGGTGATGTTGTAGATAGCATACCTGTCTTTACTGAGTTTAGTCATGTCCGGTGGTTCATTCATGAATACCACAATGTGAGGTTTCTTCATACGTTTCATACGTGATTCGTATTTGGTGCTGAAGAAGAGACCGTTCTTCAACTCCTCTAAGAAATCATACTGGATGAATTCACCTTGCTTGCTTCGGGGACAATCGAATAAGAATACATTCTTAGAGGTGTCCACAGCGTATGCCATGTCCGCTTTCTTCCCGGGGAGTATGATTTGAGTGTTCTCATGGTGGCTGCAATAATATTGTGCAAACCAGCTCTTCCCTTGGTTTCCCATTGGGTCGACTACAAAGATTATTTCGCGAGAGTTGGGAGGGAGACTGAGACGCTTATTGAGGTCCTCTTGCCACGGTCTAAGTGGATGGTCTTCTACTGGGTCTGTCGAAGTATTGCAGTCCTCTATGAATTCATGGAAGAAACGAGGGTATCTTGCGGCTACTTCACTAAATTCATCTCTGAGCAGCTTCTTGTCACGGTTGCCTGCTTTCACCGCTTCTTTAAAGGGGTCTATATCGCTGCGCTTCCCTGGTGTCTGTGTTATACGAGGTGGTGTCCCGAATTCACACCAGTCACCGTTCTTCTTGCAGTATTCAATGGCTCTCTCTAGTTGTCTGGTAATGCTTAGATGAGCCTGAATACCTAGGGTCTTCAGGGCTTTCTTCATTGAAGTTCGCTTGGAGAATGAAACGTTGCCTTGAAGATGCGGTGTCCCGGAGGCTCCTACTTCCTTTCCAAATATTACATGGTCTACCGTTGAACCACTTGCAGCCTGTTCAATGGATTCTATATCGGCAGGAGTGTAGTTGTTACACGTGAATGCCCAGTGCTTGGCTCCATTAGGCATCTACATAGAGCAGAATCGGGGGAGGGGGTGGAGTGGTGAGGTGACGGCTCGGAAAAAGAAGGTGACCATAGAAGCGATAGAGGTGATAAGGTGATACGAACAAGATAGATGGACGGGCACACAACGATGATAACAATGGCGATAGACGACAACGATAACAATGGCGATAGACGACAACGATAAACGGTACACAACGATGATAACAGCAACAACGATGAACGACGGACGATAGGCACACAACGATGATAACAGCAACAACGATGATAACAACGATCAATACCGCGATCAACTACGACGATAGACTACGGCGATAGACTGGTAAGGTCATTGTCGTCAGAAAAAAACTGAAATGGACCTTACGTTATCGATAGTTTAAAAAAATGAGAGTATGAGGTTGGAGGGGATTTGGATAGTGTGAAAAAGAGGCCGGAGGTTGTTTGAGTCGTGGCCTCTTTTCACGCGATCAAAATCCTATAGTAAAACAGTACAAAAGAGAAAAAAAGAGGCCGGAGGCCAGAGGTGGGGTAATTCCGTCTCCTTGAGACGGCGCTCCTTTTGGTTACCCCCTCAGTTGCACTCTGAATCGATTTGCCGGCGTTTACTGTGTAAAATAGAGTACCCGCACTTCAGTTGCAGAATCAACGGTCATGTGTATCCGTAAGTACCAAACCTGTACTTAACGTGATTTAACATTTAGATCGATTCGTGGATAAAAAGAACCGTTGAAGGTTCTAAGGTTAAGGTTAAACCAACTCATCGCGTGCGCACGTACCGGTACTGGTACCCCACCCAAATCCATTGTTGAAGGTGCAGCACTGACTTCTCTCCCTCATTGAATTCGTATGGTAAACAGGAAAGAAATCCAAGCTTGGCCCACAAGAGTGAGTACAGCCGTATGCGTTGGAGGAGTTCTTTATCCATCGGCCGATCAATCGAACGACACGAGGTAAGCCTATTATCAAGAGTGTTAATTGAAGGTACAGCACTGACTTCTCTCCCTCATTGGATTTCTATGGTATTCAGGAGAGAATTCCAAGCTCGGCCGTCAACAGGTGAGTTGTTTTCATTATTCGAGTGCAAGTCGAGTCAGTCGCACCTCTACCGGTACCGGTACCATAATATTATCCAAGCCTCAGTCAAGCCGGCTGTCTCCGGTGTAGATTCGAAAGCCATCCTTCATTGAATCCTATGGACCATGGGATGGCAGTCAGTTCTCGGCCCATGACGGCCAAGTTGGTGCAATTTGAAAAGCAAGGGTAAGTCTCCGGTCTTCTTCAGTTCAGCACAGAAAACAAAACTCATATCTATTTGTTGTTTTCTCTGCTGAACTGCTGACGGCCGAGGAAATCCCATTGTCGCGTCCTTTTAGAACGATCGATTGCTCTGGATAACAAGAAGAAGCTGCTGTTGATCGGTCGCTACGGAGGAGGAGGCTCTGTTAACTCCAGCCCTATCAGAGTGTATACTGTTGCCACTGTCGCCGATGTAACTGCACGGTAGCGGGCTACAATGGCTGGATTAACTATATTCGGTTTTGTGCATGTATTCGTGATAAGGATCCAATGCGAGGTAACCGAGTGCAGCGAGCAAAGCCGAACCTGAGTGTGTTCGGTACTGTTGCCACTGTCACCGATTGATGTAACTCTACGGTAACTGGCTACAATGGCTGGATTGGCAATATTCGGTTGTGCATGCATTCGTCATAAGGATCCAATGTGAGGTACCGGTAACCCTAGCGAGCAAAGCCGAAATTTTGGTACTGTTGCCATTGTCGTCGATGTAGCTATACCGCATCCAGCTACAATGGCTGGATTCATAATGTTCGGTTGTGCATGTATTCTGCATAAGGAACCAATGCAAGATACCGGCAACTGAGTGTAGCCAGCAAAGCGGAACCTGAGTGTGTTCCGTGCTGTTGCCACTGTCGTCGATGTAACTGTACGGTAGCGGGCTACAATGGCTGGATTAACTATATTCGGTTTTGTGCATGTATTCGTCATAAGGATCCAATGCGAGGTAACCGAGTGCAGCGAGCAAAGCCGAACCTGAGTGTGTTCGGTACTGTTGCCACTGTCACTGATCGATGAACTCTACGGTAGCTAGCTACGGTGGCTGGATTGACAATGTTCGGTTGTGCATGTATTCGTCATAAGGATCAAATGCAAGGTACCGGTAACGGAGTGTAGCCAGTAAAGCGGAACCTGAGTGTGTTCGGTACTGTTGCCACTGTCACGGATCGATGTAACTCTCTGCCTACGGTACCGTAGCTGGCTACAATGGCTGGATTGCATGTATTCCTCATAATAATATGGATCCAAGTACCAGGTAGCGAGCAAACTGAGGAAACAGGAGACGAACGCTGAAAAAAAGCCGAATAATGATCCTGTGGATTGACCACCTCTGCAAGGTCCCGCAAGTACGTAATATGCTGAATCCCGGTCATCACTAGTCCCGTGATGAATAATCCTAGCCCTCGTGATGCATGATGAATTCATCACTTTAATCACGATTCATCACGATTCATCAACAGTCATCAGAGATTCATCACTCATCGCCGATTCATCACTTGTTCATCACATTCATCACCCTTGTGATGAATTCATCACCCATTCATCACATTCATCACCATTCATCACCATTTTCATCACCACTTTCAACACGACTTTCAACACTGCCAACACTCTCTGTAAGCAAGCAACAAGCTCTCAACAGACAACAGAAGGATGCCAGGCAATCAACCCGAGGCGACATGGAGGAATAGCGACACGAAGGAGATGCTACGAGAGGCTATCCTTCGCGGCGATTTGCACGAGGAATCAGATTTGCATCAGCTTTACACAAGCAATGCTCTGTACTACAAATGGCCTTGGGCTCAATTCAAACGAAATACAAGCAGCCTGATTACTTCGATTAAGAGTGGCAAGCAAGGCATCAAGTGGAAAGGTAGCAAAGGGCGTGCTTTGCTCAAAGAACAAATCATTGCCGGAATTGTGCATGAGATGTCCGACCCAGAACAAGTCCATGCTGGCCGAGATGAATTCAAAATATTCCCAATCAACAGTTTCAAAACAAACATGGGAAACCTGTTGGATCAAATTATCACTCAGTTTGAACGTTTGGAGGTTGATACAGAAGCTTATGGCCATGATATGGCCATCATTTTGGAGAGGAGGAAGAACAATCCACTCGAGAAGAGACCATGGCATAGATCCCCTTGTCCATCTTTGTTGGAGAAAGACGTGAAGGATGGGAAGCATTTGGAAATTGATCCAGAGACCGGAAAGAAAGTGAAGCCTGTTGTGTTGTATCAATCAAGGCTTGAGTACAGAGAGTTTTCTCAAAAGGTTTTTCGTAACCATCTTTATCAAGAAGTCGATAAGAGGGCAAAGCAACAGCTTCGCATGGACAAGAAAAAGACAAGAGTGCCTATGGCTGATCGCTATCAGGTTAGTGGAGATAAACGGCATCTTCTCGACAGAGTTGACTAAGCACACAATCAGCTCTTTACTTGGTTTAATAAGCTTTGATTAGAAACTACTTTATTAAACCATTCCAAACATACATTTGTCTTAGGGGATTGACTCTGACCTAGTTGTAAATGCCACAGTCGATTGCATTGACGCTCACCTGGTAATCGTGCTTCATTTCGGCTTCAAACTTACTAATCTTGTTGAATGTAGCTCCATCAGAGCCATCACTCACGGCTGCTGGGACTTCCATATCATCCTCTTTTGCCTGTTGGTGCATCACAGCTTCCATTCGCGCTGCAAGCTCTGCCTTCTTGCGGCGCTTCTCAATACCAGCAGCTCTCTTCAAAGAAGACATCTTCTTTCTAGACTCGACGCGAGCATTATGCTGCACTTCAACACTTGGCTTGAAACCTTCTTTTCGGTTCAGTTCAATCTCTTTCTGTGCACTCGTTGGATTGACTGCAAACAAAGGTGAACCAGTGTCTGTGACAGTTGTCACTTGAAGAAAAGGCTTCTGGGTGCTAGGTGGTGTTCCAAGAGGAGTTACCATCTGCTGATAGCCAGGAGGGCTGTACGTGCCAAAACTTGACTTTGGTGTCTCCAACTCTCTTGAATCAAAGAATGCATCAGTTCGCAGTTTGCCCTGTGGCAAGGAAGAGAGGCACACCGCCACCACTCTTGGCAGCAGCAGCAGCGGCACCACACCACGACTCTTGACAGCAGCAGCACCACTCTTGGCAGCAGCACCACCATTGACAGGGACAGTGTAAGGCTTCGACTGAAGATCTGGGAAGCGTTGCTTGAATTGCGACCATGCATCTGCGTGAGTGATGGTCTTGCTTGATTGCTGAAGACACTGCTGTTGAAACAGCACTTGTTTGGGATCTGCCTTGTTCTGAGCTGGTTTCCTTTTTGGTTGAGCAACAGGTCTGGTCGG